AACTCAAACAGCACCCCCAAACATCAAGGAGACGAGGGCAGGACCCCATTAACTTCACTTTGAAATTCTCCACATAACTCGACCCTCAACAGTGTCGTAGGGTTATCATTAACCAGCCCAGAACTAGATTTTGGGCTTGATGATGTTAATTCTGTGCAAAATATCTTCTAAGACAGCCATGTATGGCACCCCTCTATGACCTCTGGTGTCAGAAAACTTTTAATGTCACGAGGTAAGTGTTTTTTTTTATTAGCCTTTTATTCATTGATTCATTTAAATTTTTTGTTGTTGAAGATTTGGAGAGGCAGACCAGGCTAGGAGGGTTTACTCTAATCAAAGCCAGGGTTTTCTTAAATCAATATTGTTAGGTTGGAGTAACCATTTGAAGTGGGTTATCGCTCGGCAGTTCAGATTCGAACAATCTAATTCCGAATACCAACACTCACTCATCCAAGCATTAACGTAATAGAGTTTTACATTGAATTTGTAATCTAATATCCTCTTCTTGTTCATTGTTGTAATGCTCTACACATGGGTATCTGCCTTCATCATCAATTGGTTAAAGACAAAAAACAAACAATTCTGCAGTTTGGGGGGTGAGGGGTGTGCCAAAATACATTCACCCCCCCACCACCCCCCAGGTTACAGTTAACATAGTACACCTCTAGGGACTCTACAAAGCACTTTTCAGTTAGCTAAGATTATTCGCCTTTACACCCGCATTGTTTAAAAGGAAAAAAAAAAGACACAAAGTTATTTGAATTATCTGACTTGTAACTAGCAAAACAGGAATTTCTTGTTTAACCCCTTAAGGAAACATGACATGTGTGACATGTCATGATTCCCTTTTATTCCAGAAGTTTGGTCCTTAAGGGGTTAAAGGGACACTGCAGTCACCTGAACAACTTTAGCTTAATGAAGCAGTTTTGGTGTATAGAACATGTCCCTGCAGTCTCACTGCTCAATCCTCTGCCATTTAGGGGTTAAATCGCTTCGTTTATACAGCCCTAGTGGCTGTGACTTAGAATGATTTACAATAAGTGCTGTGTACTATCAAAAAATATAATTTAACTATTGCAATAACAATATAATTTCATTATTAACTCATGTGACTCCCATACTAGGGTTTACAGGACGTGCTCCCTTTTTATTATCAGTTGTACAAACAGGACTCACCACACCTGTCCCCGCACCTACACTGGAATTTTAGAAATTAGAGAATAAAAGTCATCAGTTTATATGCACCTTTTATAAACATCGTGTTTTACCTACGTCACTTATTTTATTAATGTTATTGTAGGAGAGGCACTTGTTGTTTTATTACTTCTTCTGTTTTTTCTGCTAAAATATTCACATTTTACTTTCACATTGTATTTAAGATCACATTGTCTCAGGCAGCCTCCGGCGCTGCACGCTGCATAGTATAGGACACAGATGGATTCGTGGCCACTGTATATGGACTTGTGGCCACTCTACGTGGTTCTGTTGCTTTGCCACGCAAGGAAGTTCTGTTTGTTTGTTATCGTCGATGTGTGCACTGTCTGTGTTTATTAAACCCATGTATCGGATTGTATTCTGATCTACCTGTGTGTGTTCTCTCCTTTCATTTATCTTGTTTCATTCTATCTCTATGGTTGATCTACATTCTAATTCTGTGTTTATTCTATGACTTTATTCTCACGGAACGCGTAGTTCTGGATCGATGCAGATAAGGGGTGTATTTCTGGGCCATGGGTTATGCAGAAAGTAAAAACAGACTTTAAAGATTTATGATCCCTCTTTTTTTTTTTTGTCTTAAATCTTGTAACTCTTTATAACATCTTACTAATTAAACCTCATAATTATGACATGGTTACTCACATGTCTTTTTTAAGTCATTCCTTTTTTTTGTAAATATTTTTTTCTCCCTTATTCCTAATACCTAATAGCACCTAACTACATCACCCACCACCAAGTCCCACTTCCATCCACAGAAAACCCTACACCGGCCGAAAGACCTAAGGCTCCTGTCTTGAGCTGTGTGTTCACCTTACCAAGGGTTACGGGATCGACTCACCATGTCTGTTCCCGGACCTACACTGGGAACTTTAGAAATTAGAAAATTGAAGTAATCATTTTATTTGTATCTTTTATAAACATGCCATGGCTGCTGCAATGTTTTTACCTACATCAATAATTTTATCTTAGTAAATGTTAATGTCATTTTATCTGTTAAAATCTACATATTTTACTTTCACATTCTGTGAGAGAGGGTGTGACGGATCACATTGTCTCAGGCCAACCTCCCGGAGCTGCACGCTGCATTTTACTGAACACAGATGGACTCGTGGCCACTGTACCTGGTTCTGTTGCTTTTCCACACAAGTAAGTTCCTTTTGTTTGTTTATTATTGTCAATATGTGCGATGCAGTGGTGTATTCTGGTTTTGTGCTGCCCTAGGCATGACAAAACTCGGGCATTCCCCCTTCCAAATTTCCTGACAGACACATGCCCTCACTGATGCATGCACTGACATACACTCACTTACAGATACACAGTCATTGTCACACACACTGTTTCACCAACACACACTTTCCCTGGAACATACACACTCATTCACTATTACACTCACTCACAGTTACACACACACTCACATTCACCGACAGACACACATATACACTAACTGACAGACACGCATTCACCGACAGACACATACACACTCACTGACAAGACACATATGCACACTCAATGACAGAAATGCATACACACTCACTGACAGATGCACACTCACTCAGTTTCAGACACACACACACTGGGACACACATATACACACATATACAATACTCACTGACAGACATATATATATACACTCAGTGTCAGACACACACATTGACTGACAGACACACATACACTAGCTGACAGACACACACTAACAGACATACACATTTATTGACAGACACACATACACACCCTGTCACACGCATACACACACTCTGAGTGACAGATACACACACTGACAGACACGTATACACTCTCACTAACACACACACTTACTAACACCAGGAATTGGACCATTGTATGGACCAAATTGCCCTTGCCTTGCAGACATTGCAAGTCCATCAAATCTGCAAATGGAAGGACAATCTCCGCCGGTTAATCCTATTACAACTGCATTAGAAGTTACACCTTATAAATCTACTTCCCATGTTACTACACCTTTAAGCTACGGTGGAGCACCTGATGCTTGTCGCGGTTTCTGAAACCAGATAAGCATACATTTTTAGTTACTTCCTAGGGCCTAACTCACAGATAGACTAAAATAGGGTTTATCATTACCTTGCTAATTGACAAGGTGTTGATTTGAGTCAATCTCTCTGGTGTATAACTATGCTGCTTTTATCAAAGCCTTTAGGAGGACTTTCGATCCCCCTGGCAGAAAAGCGAACTCTGCCAGAATTCTTCTCCTGCTCAAACAAAGGAATAAATCCGTAGTTGATTAGGCCCTAGAATTCAGGTCCATGGCAGCAAAAGTAGGATGGAACATCCAGGCTTTTGTAGACATGTTTCTTTTTTTTAAAAAATTCTTTATTTTTCTTGTGCATTAGATTATATCACAAAGAGGCCTGTAGCGCCATGACAGCGTTTACAGGCGTTTCAATAGCATACATAGTCATGGCATATATTTACCGCACTTTTTTTTAAAAGATAAAACAGGCTTGTAACACATTAAACATGTTCCTTAACATATTGAGTACATTCTAGCTTTGCTTGTCTATTGTGTTAAGTCACGGTGGGGTCATCTAGCTTACTACTATCTGGTACATGTGCTTTCAATAAACCGAAAAATAAGGTATATGCTAACAAGGCTATTCAAGAAACCTACTTCTGCATGTCAATCTATGTTTTTACAAAAAGTTAGAGGTCAACGTAGCAGATTGTTAGCTTGACAGTGAACTTGAACAGGTTAAATTAATTCAGCGCTTATAGTGTCTGTTAGCTAGAGGTGCTAAACTTTTGTGTTGGAAGTAAGAGTCAATGTGATATGCATAAGTGGAAGACATTTGGAGAGTTCTCACATTAGGTGCCCATGCACGAACCGTGAGCGGTATACCAGGTCAGTTTCTGGGGGGGTCAGCTGACCTCCAGTCTGCAAGTGGCGGGTGCTTGTCTGGAGGTGTCGCTGGTGGGACTCCTTAGCCTCTTATCGGCACCCAATTCATACATGTCTCACAACAGTGGGGCAGATTTGCGAGTGGTTGGTGCGGCTCAGTCGGCCCGCTAAGGGCACTCAGGTCGGGCCACTGTCCGTGAACCCCTGGGGACGAAAGTCTCAGAGTTAGCTGGGTTCCATACTTGTGGTCTGGAGGGGATGTTTGGTTGCTGCAGAGTGTCTGGTGGGAGGCCCAAGGTAACGAGTTGTGTCTTTGCCTCCTGCAGGTCCGCTATGAGGCATGTGTTGTCTCCCTGGAACACCTGGAGCTTGTGTGGTGAGCGCCATTGATATTTAATATTATGGGCGTGGAGTAGGGTGGTGAAAGGTTTCATGGTTGAGCGCCAGGCCATAGTTCCTCTGGATAAGTCTGTGTATAGTGAGAGGGTCATGTCCTCGAAGGGGTATGGTGTTTTTCCCCTGATGGCGGTCATAACCGCTGCTTTGTCCTGCCGCTTTTGAAATTTAACAATTACGTCCCTGGGTGCTGCCGGGGGAGCCGTTGTCGGTTTGGTGATTCTGAATATGCCATCCAGACCTACCCCTTTAGCTTGCTTTGGCTGGAGTATGTTACCTACGAGGCGCCTCATGAGGTGAGGGAGTTCTGAATCTGGGACCGACTCTGCTATGCCTCGAATCTTTATATTTTGGGCCCTGCGTGAGTCTTCCAGTACCGCCAGTATCTGTTCCACACTCAGGTGCTGCTGTTGCAGCGTTTTCACCTCCTGCTGGAGCCTGGCTACAGTCCTCGAGTGGTTGAGGGAGTCTTGTTCCACGGTTCCCATGCGGTTTGTTAGACCCTGTATGTCTTTCCTCATGTCGGCTACATCCGCTTGGATATTCCGGTGGAGCTCCGCCAGCAGCTCCCTCATTTCGGCCTTTGTGACTTGGGGCCATGTCCGGCTGCGTTCTTGGTTGCACTGCCTCTTGTGTTACGGGTAAGCATGTCTCTTCAGACTCTGAGAGTCGCTCATTGCAGTCGTCGAAGTCGTCGAGGTAGGCGTCCATGTTGGGTTCCGAAGCGCCATGTGCTCACCGCCATAGGTCCCCTATGCTGGTGCCCGGCCGGGCCAGTTCTTGTTTTGGTTTTTTTTTTTCTGCCCATTGATAGACCACTGTAGTGGGGCAGTCTTGGCTGCCTTGTAGGGGGTAAAATAGGTTTCTTTTTTGCTTTTTCTCCGTTAAATCTCGGAGCTCTCAGAAGATGCGACCAGTCTTTTCGGCAGTTAGCCAAGTATCTGTAGACATGTTTCTTTATGGTCTTTCTGACACTTTTCTTGATGCAGGTGCTCCTAGAGATCTCCCTGTTAATTTAGAAGAATTAATCACGTCTATGAGGATGAACGTCTTAGACACAGTCAAAATACTAGGGAAAGACCTAGGAGAGCATCTATCAGACTTGCTCCATACTTTAACTCTGCAGATTCTATGGCTTTGGCTCTGACTAAACCCATTCTGTTTGGGATAACCAGATTAACCAAAACAGAGAGACAATACAGAAGGAGAGAAGGGTTATGTATGTATTGCGGTAAAAAGGGACACCTCCACCTGACCGGTCCTAGTAGGCCGCAAAACTCCCGCACCTAAGTCCGTCTGGAGGACAGGCCTTGGGTGTTTTTACTATGTCCTCCAAGAATACAGAAAAAGATCATAGGCTTTTTGTTCCCATCACCTTAATCTGGTGAATTAATGTACTATGGCACTATTAGATTCAGGGGCAGATGAAAGTTTTGTAGACATAACATATGCCAGTAGTCATTCTATTACATCAAGGTTGAGAAATACGCACTTGGCCGTTGAGTCCATAGCTGATAGACCACTTCAAATTCCTGTAATTACTCACGAAACTGAACCCTTGCATATGACTGTAGGGGCCCAACATAAAAAGGTAATTGTGTTACAATTGATTTTTCAAGAAAGACCCATAGAGGGGTCGAAAAATTGATCGGGACTTTGTATACATTTGCTTGTATGCAATAACGAGCACCAATATTTCTATCAGAAAATCCCTTGGAGTGAACCCTTATTCTTTTGGACTATTTTTCATACGCGGATTGCACCAGGGTAATAGGTTTTTTGTTTTATTAACTAAATGGTGAGTGCCAAGCCTATATATATATATTTATATATATATATATATATATATATATATATATACACACACATATATATAATTATTATTATTATTGTTATAATATTTATATAGTGCCATCAAATTCCGCAGCGCTTTACAACGGCTGGACGAACAGACATGTAGTTGTAACCAGACAAGTTGGACACACAGGAACAGAGGGGTTGAGGGCCCTGCTCAATGAGCTTACATGCTAGAAGGAGTGGGGTAAAATTACACAAAAAGGTAAGGATAGTATTAGACTAGTGACAGTTGCAGAAGAGGAATCAGTCGGGAGCTATTACAGTTTAATTGATACACTTTTATGAAGAAGTGGGTTTTTAATGACTTTTTGAAGGAGCAGAGACTGGGTGAGCATCTAACGGAGGAGGGAACCGAGTTCCACAGGGACGGTGCAGCCCTCGAGAAATCTTGAAGGTGAGCATCAGAGGTGGGAGTACGGACAGAAGATAGACGTAAGTCTTCAGCAGATCGTAAGGGCCTAGACGGGACATACTTGTGTATTAGGGAGGATGGATAGGTGGGAGCAGCATTATGTAGAGATTTGAAAGCAAGAACCAGAATTTTAAATTGAGCTCTATATTTTATAGGAAGCCAATGCAGGGACTAACAGAAGGGTGAGGCATGGGAGATGCGGGCGGACAGGAAGATGAGCAACAGTGAATGTGTCTAGTCCCCCACATGGTGGAATAAATGATGTATTTCTAGATTATGACTGTTTCCCCATGTTTCTGCAGGTTCTGAGCTGGAAGTAACCGGTCCAGCTTCTCCCCACACTGTGTTGGTTGGATCCCGTGTCCTTCTCCCCTGCAGGTTCTCTGTGGATACCCCTCCTGTGAACCCCATCTTTCTGGCTGTATTTTGGAAATTTGGAGACAAAGAACTGTTGAAATATGATAAAGGGATATTGAACTATAATAAAGATATATCTTCCCGTCTGAGGATGACAATAGATGGTCAGGCAGCCATGAGTGGAGATGTTTCTCTGACCATAGACAATGTGACCATCTCTGATAAAGGCATCTACACATGTTCAGTGATTTACAGCCCAGACAGACAAGAAAAGGAGATTGAGTTACATGTTCAAGGTAAGAATTTATTACAGGTGTTTCTCACTAGGTTAGGATCAGCTCTACATAGTGACGTTTATATTGCAATATATGTATTAATTATATAATGTATGGCTTTACTTGAGGATTTGTTCCGGTGGCAGTTATAGTACTCTGATAAGCAAAGAAATATAAACTGGATAAACAAATTGGATTGGCTGAACTTGATGGACGCAAGTCTCTTTTCAGCTACGTAACTATGTAACTATGTATCCACTAAACATTGCAATTCATCTGAAATTTGTGCAATCAGCAGGTCTTTTGAATTCTGTAACTTCTAATCTCTATATGGACCAGTCACAAAACAAACAAAATAGGCAATGGCCAAATAGCTTGGTTTGTTTTGTGATTCCGAGTTCCATCCATGATACAAAAAGGAGATAATTGGTGGGAAAAACCATTTGATGATACCAAATGTTGGTTTTATTCATATATCAAGTGAGAAGTGACCAGAAGAGGGAAAAAAGGAGATATTTCTATCTATTCATCTTTATATATTTAATAAGTATTAGGCATGTGCATGGGAAAAATATTTGGCTTTGTTCGGCATTCCGAAATTCGGGACTTCGACACTTTGGAACTTCGGTTCGGCACTTTGGGTAAGTGTAGGGTTAGGATTAGGGGTAGGGTTAGGGTAGGGTTGGTTTAGGAGTAGGGTTAGAGGTAGGGTTAGGGTAGGGGTAGGGTTAGTTCAGGAGTAGGGGTAGGATTAGGGTAGGGGTAGGGTAGGGTTAGGGTTATGGTACAGTTAGGGGTAGGGTTATGGCAGGGTTAGTGGTAGGGTTATGTTAGAAGCAGAGTTAGGGTTAGAAGTGGGGTTATGGTAGGATAAGGGGTAAGTTTAGGGTTAGGGTTGGGTTAGGAGTACAGTTAGGGTTAGGGTAGAATTAGGGGTAACCCTACTCCAATCACTAACCCTACCCCTACTCTAACCACTAACCCTAACCCTACTCCAACCCCTAGCCCTTCCCCTAACCCTACCCCAACCACTAACCCTAAACCAACCCTTAACCCTAACCCTAACCCTACCCCTAATCCCAACCCTATCCTGTTTTGCCACTTTTCAGAAATCCGAAGCACTTCGGTACTTCCAAAATTTGGCACTTCGGCAATTCGGTTCGATTCGGCATTCCGAAATGCGCCACTTTGGAAATTCGTTACTTCGGACATTCGGAAGCATCCGAATGCCCGAATTTCGGCCGAATTTGCGTTTGGAACGAAATTAATTGCACATGTCTAATAAGTATATAATATCGAATATATAAATAGAATGTTTTTACTGCTCCTCCTGTTTTTCTCTCTACTGGTTACTTTGTCTCACTCGATCTGTAAACCAAATGGCTGGAAAACGCACCTATAAGTGTAATGATATAATAATATACTATTTATTTTTATATTATGTATAGATTTTGTATTATGTATATTATTTTGGTTAATTTTCAAGCCTTTGGTTCATACAATTGTTTTTCTCAAAACAATTCCAATATGTGAAATTCACCTAAACTGAAATGCTACATTGAAGAAACCCCAATCGACCAACATATATATGTATATTTTTTTGGACGAATTGAAACAAATTTTTTCTAATAGTCACAGGTCCCACACAAACAATTTGAAGTACCTCGAAAGAGCGTGATGTTTCCCTGTTATAAAGGATCCCTTTATTTAATCGATTTGTCTTTTTTACAGCTTCTCCAAAGGTCAAGATAATGAAAAAAAGCTTTCTCAGGAATGAGGAAAACCGCCTCCATTGTTCCATCACAGACTTCTATCCAAGTAATATTAAAGTTTCGTGGTTCAAGAATGGGCAGATTCTGATTACGTCCGACACGGGCAAACCTCAGAGGAACTCAGATGGCACCTATATGGTAAACAGCTCTGTGATTATAACCCCAGCCGAGACCCAGGATAACATGATCATCGAGTGCCAGGTGGAGCACGAATCCCTGGTGAACTCTATAAAGGACAATTATACTGTGGTATACGGAGGTGAGAACAATGTAATTTAGTTCTGTTCTTAAATCTAATTGATTTTTAAAAAAAATGTTTTTATTGAAAGATTTAACATTTTACAATAAAATGATCAATCAATATGAGATGAGTAAAATATTGATACAACAAACGCTGTGATTATTATACCAAATTACAAGCATCATTGTGAGTTCACTTGCAGGACACCGATTCCCGTTGGTGAAGATCTATGTTCTAGAATAACCTGTATAGCTGGCCCTTCCACAGAAGGCGGTATTATCTAGTGTGCATGACACAAAGGGGTTAAAGGACAGCTGTAGTTCAAATGAAGCGATCAGTAGAGATGTTCACGTCGTTTTAATGGTGGTTGTTGCTATGCTTTTAGATCCCTGCTTCACATTGATCTTTATTGTGCATTACATGGAGCACAGGAGAAATGTTTTTTAAAAGCGATAAAAAAATAAAATAAAAAAAATAACAACCTCACCCCAAGTGCAAATGCCTGTATACAGGGATCAGGTTATCTGATCAGGTTATTAGACCAAGCAGGTTTTCTTAGACACACATCACATGTACATGTTGGGCAGCATGTGAAAAGTGCCACCGTGGAACTGAAACTTCAGCTACATTCCACCGAACAACACTCCCCCTGTGCTGCCCATGAACCATGGTGTGTAAAACAGATCTCTGTACTAGGGGATCGAAGGCACACCAACATGGACAGTCAGAGACAATTCTAATATTAGTTTATATGAATACTGTTACTTCATTATGCTATACATAGCTAAATATTTAGACACATGCCAGTAGATAGTTCATAGAAAATTTTGGACATTACAGGGACTATCTATGTACCACATAACCCTCTACAGCTTATTGTAGTGATTATGACGCAAAATCTGTGGGCACTGTCCCCATGTTTGTGTCTGTCAGACCGTTTTCCCTTCTTTCTTTTTTTTTTCCCTTCTTTTTTCCCTTCTTTTTTCCCTTTCCCACCTCTCTTTTCTCTTGTTTCCCCTTTTCCTTTGTTTATTTATTTTTGTTATTTTCTCATAATAAACATTATATCTGTTACATTGTTGGTTTAAACACCAAGGGGAAAAAAAGGTAAATGTACAGCTGTGTAGGCCATTTGTTCCACATGGAATGCAAAATGTTGTACCATTGTCATACATTTATTTTTTCCCTAACCACTTGGATGCACCTGAGTGTTGTTGGCCTAGTGTGGACCTGCTATCTGATGGTGTTCTGTGTGAGCGTGATTGTGCCTAGTTTGGCTTGGGACCATGTACTATTTGTGTATTCGTGTCTGTCTGTAGGTATGAAATCCAAGGTTGCCATGTAGCTACGAAGGTCTCGTATTTGTGTGAGAGTGAATACGTAAGTTCTTCCATTTCTTTAATGGATTCTACTTTGGTGATCAATTATCTTATCGTTGGTGGTTGGGTTTGCTTCCATTTAGTCGGGATCAGGCCGTTGGCCGCAGTGAGTAGGTGGCTTATCAGTGTTTGTTCTGTCTTTGATATGTATGTTGGGTATAACAAAAACAGACAGGTTTCCGGGTTGTGAGGAAGTCTATGTCCTGTGATTACGTGGGTAAGATCCGTGATTTTCTCCCAATATTTTTGAATCTCCTCGCATCCCCACCATATGTGGCCTGTGGTTCCCTCAGCGGTTTAGCATCTCCAGCAGAGTTTTGAGGAGTTGGGGAAAAATGTATGTACGCAGGTTGGGGTGTAGTGCCATCGTGCTATGCGTTTGTAGTTGCTCTCTTGGATGGTTGTGTTTTGTGATGATCAGAATATAGTTGTGAAGATCTTCCTCCATTCCTCTGTGGTGAGTGTGGTGTTGAGATCCTCTTCCGACTTTTTGGTGAATTCTGGGAGAGCGTGGTTTGTCTCTGCTTGTATGAGTTTGTGGAAGAGAGATAAATGGCCCTTATGGATTTTGTCGCTGAGGCTAAGTGTTTCAAACTTTGTGAGTTGTCTGCATCCCTGGTTTAAGTCTGCGTTGCACTGTATGAAGTGTTTGATTTGTGTATACCGGAAGTGTAAGATGTTTGTTCTATCTACTGGTGGTATCAGGTCTGTGTAGGGGATGATTTTGTTATCTTTCATTATGTCCCATAAGCATAGGGTTTGGGATGTCGCTGGGAATTTTGCAAAGGATGCAGCGTGCATCCCCGGTTGAAATTGGGGGTTACCGGTTATAGGAAGTAGGGGGGACAGGTGTGGTGAAACATAGTTATTCTCCCTAATCTGTGCCCAGTATCTGAGAGTAGGTATTATGGTTGGGTGAGAGGAGTCGGTTTGTTTTATCAACTCTGCTCCCCTATCTAGCCAAGGTATAGTGTTCAGAGGGGTGTCGAAGCTCTGGGATTCTATGTGCACCCATTGTTTTTGGCTTTGAGGGACTGTCCAGTCATAGATTTGTGTCAGTATCATTGCTTTGTGGTATGACGCTATGTCCGGAAGGCCCAGGCTACCCTGGTGTTTGTGTTTTATCAAATATCTATATGGTATCTTCGGGTGATTCCCTGCTCATATGTATGTGGTGATGAGTTTTTTTGTTTGAGTGAAGAATGAGTTAGCGATAGGAAGCGTTTGTAGTAGATAAAGATTTTCGGGAGTATAGACATCTTCAGTATGTGCACCCTACATAGCCATCCGAATTGTGGCTTATTCCACTCGTTGAGGTCTGTAGTTATGTCATCGAGGAGTGGTGGGAAGTTTAATTTGAATGTTTTAGCCAATTTCGAGGTGAGGTGATACCCAAGATATTTAATCGATTTAGCTGGCCAGCTGAAGGGGTATGTTTTTTTTAATTGTGTACATGTTGCTTCCGCTATTTGAAGGGGGATAATCTCGCTCTTACTTATATTGACTTTGAAATTAGAGATGTGGTTATATATATCTATTTCTTTGAGGAGGTGTGGCATTGAGTTTATTGGGTCTACGATGGTAAATAGTAGATTGTCAGCAAATGCTGACACTTTATATTCTTGTTCCCATACTCTTATGCCTTTTATTTCTAGGTTGTCCCTTATCCCCTGCAGGAAAGGTTCCATCGTTAGAATGAAGAGCAGTGGGGACAAGGGGCACCCCTGTCTTGTACCGTTCTTTATATGGACCGTGTCTGAAAGTTGACCGTTTATTCTGATTTCAGCCCCTGGGGATGAATAAATTGATGTTAGCCACGAGAGCCAGTTTGGGCCAAAGCCGAAAGCTCGCATTGTTTCTATTAATAGGGACCAGTCTACCCTATCGAATGCCTTTTCCGCATCTATCGCAAGTATCAGGCTTTGGGTTTGTAGTTTGTGTGCAGTGTATATGAGATTGAGTAATTTGGTGGTGTTATTTTTAGCCTCTCTGCCAGGTTCCAAGCCCGCCTGGTCTTGGTGAATTAAACCTTGGAGAAGTGGTCTGAGGCGTGTGGCTAGGATTTTCGTAAAGACTTTCAGATCTACGTTGATAAGTGATATAGGTCGGTAACTGCCACACTCCGATAGGTCTTTGCCTGGTTTTGGGATTAGGGTCACGTGTGCTTCTAAGGCTTCATTTGGTATGTGGGTGCCCTGTGTGAGTGAGTTATAGGCTTTTGTAAACGGGTCATTCAGGATGTGGGCAAATGTCTTAAAGTATTTTGCTGAGAACCCGCCCGGGCCCGGACTTTTGCCTGGCGGGAGTAGTTTGATGGCCATTAATACTTCCTTGGGTCGTATTTGAATCTGTCTTGTGTTTTGGGGAATTGTTTGGGTCACCTATTTGCCAGGAATCTGTTGATGTCTTCTATGGGAGGAGGGCTAGATCTCAGATTGTAAAGGTTAGTATAGTAGGAATGGAATTCCTGGAGTATTTCTGTTGGAGGTGAGTGGTCTCCCCTGATGGTTTCCTGATTTGTGGTATAAATGTCCGTTGCCTATTGTTTTGCATCGCTCGTGCTAAGAGGCGACCACATTTGCCCCCTTGGGTATAGTACTTATGTTTGGTCCTCAGAAGTGCGTACTTGGTTTTGGCATTTAGAATCGACTGTAGGGTGGATCGTTTTTCCACTAGTTGTTTGTACATGTCTATCGTGGTGTTTTATTTGTGTATGGTTTCCAGTTGCCTTATTTCATGTGTGAGTCTTGTCACCTGTTTCTCTCTTAGATTTTTCTGTTTGGCTGCTGCTGCTATTATATGGCCTCTCAATACCGCTTTGTGTGCCTCCCATATTATTGTGGGGGAGCTGGATGGTGTGGTATTTTTGGCGAAGTAGTTGCGCATGGTGTTGCTTAGGGTTGACACTGTAAGAGGGTCATTGAGTAGGGTGTTGTTAAGTTTCCAGTGTGCTCTTGTGGCTGGGAGTGTCGGAATTTTTATTGACAAGGTTAGAGGACTGTGGTCTGACCATGTAATAGGGCCATATTCAATGGTCTTTATGAGGTGTAGATGTCGGTGTTGCAAGAAAATCATGTCTAGACAGGCGTATGTGTGTTTAACTGTAGAGTAGTAAGAGTAGTCTCGAGCTGAGGGGTGTGTTGACTTCCACCCATCGTATAAACATCCATTGTCTAGTATTTGTTTCATTCTGGCACGGGTTGAGGAGTTGTATTGTGTTGCATGAGAGGTTGTGTCAAGGTCTGAGTCTAGCGATACGTTAAAATCTCCTCCTAAAATAAGTATTCCTTCTGTGAAACTTTCTATCTTAGTGAGGCATTTGCGTAAGTATGAACTTTGTTTTGTGTTAGGTAGATAAAGATTGGCAAATGTTATTTTAGTGTTCCCTATTAGTCCCTTAACCAAGGTGAACCGTCCTTCTGTGTTGGAGTAATGTTTCTTGTGTGTAAAGGGTGCTTTGGCTCCTATTAGTATGGCTACCCCCCTGGCTTTGGTTGCCGAGTAGTTGCTAAAGAAGTAGTGTGCAGGTAGTGTGTGTTCCTTAGATTGGGGGCTTGACCTGCTTTAAAGTGGGTTTCCTGTAGCATCACTATGTCTGCCTTTAATTTGCGCATTTCGGTGAGGGTTTGGGATCTCTTGTTTGGGGTATTTAGGCCCCTGACATTCAGGGTTGTCACTGTGATTGTGGCCATGTGTGCGTTGAGTTAGTTACGCGTTTGTGTGGGTTATGGCTTGGTAGCTGCACAGGGAGAGCGGTGGTAGAAAGGGTGGGGGGTTTTCAAAAAGAATAAAACAACAGTTTACAACTTTGAACTTCAAACTATATACAATTTCTCCAGGTCACCCGCTGAGCGAGCAAAGGAGAGTTTTGGTAGGTATTAGGAGGTAGGCCTCTTCGGACGGTGGCTTTCCCCAAGTCTGCCGTGTAGCTTTGGGGAAACAGTAAGGCACCGCTTGGGCCTTTTGGTTCGCTGTGGGTGATCTAGGTGGTTGGGGGGAGTTACATGGTGTGGCGGTTGCCACAGGGCAATCGTTGTGTATAGTTAGTGTTTTTATGTTGGTTTTGCAGGCCTAGTCACTGGTTTATATGGAGGGACGGTGGTTGGTAGTCTAGGTTTGTTTGTGTTCCTGGCTGGTGGGAGGATTTCATGGTGTCTGTTACTCCTGTGAGAATTACCCTCCTATATGTTCCCTCAGTATTAGGTTTGTCGCTTCTTCCACTTTAGGTATTCTAAATCTAGGTATGGGTAACTCGAAGTATTGTGTGTTTGGTCCTATTATTTGCACCGTTTACGTTAGACATATCAGGTTCTCAAAATCTTGTGCATTTGTTGTTTCCAGGGCATACAGTAATATATACATATTTAGCTGTAGGGTAAAGCATTAAAATAATACAAACAGTCATAAAGGCTTATGAACCATACAACCCCTACCAAATGAAAAACTAACTGGCATACATACACATCTCCTCCTCCATTACATTAATCTTATGTTGCATCTGTTTGAAAAAACTCATACTCTGTCTACCCTCACCCTACACTTATTTATAGTAGTTAAATTAAGCTGTAAGAATGGTTTCCCATTAAGTGGGGTGGAGGTTGGGGTAAGGTTGGGTGGGGTAAGGAGGGGTAGTGGCTATGGATGGATGAGTATGATATGAAGTACTTGCGTTAGAAGTCAGGTAAGTCCTTGTCCATCTATTATGGGTTGCGGTTAGTTTACCTGATTGTGCTGCAACCGTATGTGTAGCTGTGACCTTTTCTGCTGGTGTTGTGATATCACTTTGGTATGCACGCAGGTCATTCGTTTCGGTTGTTTCTATAGGACCTTGTAGTAGAATTGTATTTGATTATGAAGGTAGTCTCTCCGTTGTGTTTGAGTTCCCAGATCTGTGGTCATCCTTTATCCGATGTTGTGGAGAAGTTGGGTCGTGGAGTTTCACAGTCCTGTGTTTCAGGTCTGATGTGTCCGGCATTGTCGTTTCCTTTTGGGTTGTTCTTCCAGAGGTTTGATTGTTCAGGAACTTTTCTTTCCGTTAGGTGCTGTTGTATTCGTGAGGGGGTTTCTTCATTGTAATATTATTTAGGATGGTGTCTCTTTAGGTCAGCCAGGATTCTGGGATGTTATAATGAGTACCGTGTCTGTTTAGCGGGGAGACCGGTCTGCCTGAATGGGGGTGTCTCTGGGTTGAGGTGGTTGTGCTTCATGTCTACGACATTTTGTTGGTGTTTGCCACCTCGCTCTTTGTTGGCGTGGTTGGTGTGGCTGCATCAGGACAGGACAAGTAGGTTAAATGCTGAGGTAAATACTGCTACGTCTGCTGCTGACGTAAGAGTTGCTGTTACTCCGTTGCTTGAGGCCATAAGTGATAGTAGGAAACCCCATCTGTATCTAATATTTCTAGTTCGGAGTACGTCTGTGAGGGGTTTCAGCATTCTTCTAGCCTGTAGCGTCATCCAGGAAAGGTCTGGATATATTTGGATTGGAGTACCTCTGTATAGGAGAGGTTGGGTTGTTTGGCGGAATTCTTTTAGGATTTCTTCTTTGACAGTAAAATAATGTAATCTGCAAATGACATCCCGGGGGTAATCCGATGAGGTGCTTCTTGCTTTTAATGCTCTATGTGCCCTGTCTAGGAGAATAGGTTCATTGGTTTCTTGGTTAAGTAGGCAGCTAAATATCTCTTGTAGTATACTTCAAAGATTTTCTCCCTCGGTTTCTGGAAGGCCCTTTATTCTCAAGTTATTACGACGCCCCCTATTGTCTAAATCATCTAAGGCTCTGTACATTTATGCCATTTGTATGGTATGTGCGTCTACAGTCCCTTGTAGTTGTTGGATCTGTGTGGAAATGTGGTCTTGATTATCCTCTAGTGCACTGACTCTGTCTCCCACCTGTTTGATGTTAGTGTTTATGTCCTCCATCTTTTGAATGCTGACTTCCGTTTAGAGTTCCATAGTTTGGGCGCTAAACAACGCTGGCCACCCAGCATTTGTCAATTAAGCTGCGGTTAACCGCAGCTTCTGGGAGGTAAATTGCCGACACACTCCAGCTCCCAGGTGGTCCAGTCATTAGTGCATTAGTTCGGTAGATTGAATCTACTGACCGCCGGGCAGAAAGGCATGAATAAGCATTTTCTGCAGAGGAAAAGAAGGCTTTTTTTTTTTTAACATGGAGCCATAGTCCAGAGGCAACAGGCGGGCAAACCAGGCTTCTCCAATGCAATGTGGCGAGATTGCTCTTGTCACAACTATACATAGTCATTTACAGTTCCTAATTGGAAAATGATCAGAATTGTACTTTTCAAGCTAAAGAATGGGAGTTTGTGATTGCCTTTTGTCTGACCATAGTCACCCGGTATAATAAATACCTTGGAAATAAGTGGAGCGCAAACAGAATAAATAAATGGAATGAGCCTCTATATACCACCAAAAGTATAAATAGCAAAATATAGTTATGTTGAATGGTTCTCGATGGATAGAATATCACCATTGTGATCCTTGTTTGCAGGTAGCACGGTCCTCTAGGGTAAACAATAGGCACAGTCCTTGTAATTGCATATACTCCAGGCACTTTATTTGTAAATTCACACAGGATACAGCAGTAAATGAAAACATAAATGTAACACAAAACCCTATAAACAAAAACCTAGCTCGCCTGAGCACTAACTGACATTAGGTTCCCTATCTCTCAGGGTTAAACTAAACAAAACAATATTGCACCAACCTTATTAGATAGCAACACTCTGCTAGCTAGCCTGTTGAGTTCCTTTCCTGCACTCCTAGTGCTCCAAGCCAGCCTTGCCCTGACTGCTTTCCTTTCTGCACTCCCAGTGCTCCAAGCCAGCCTTGCCCTGACTGCTTTCCTTTCCGCACTCCCAGTGCTCCAAGCCAGCCTTGCCCTGACTGCTTTCCTTTCCGCACTCCCAGTGCTCCAAGCCAGCCTTGCCCTGACTGCTTTCCTTTCCGCACTCCCAGTGCCTCCAAGCCAGCCTTGACTGCTTCCTTCTGCACTCCCAGTGCTCCAAGCCAGCCTTGACTGCTTCCTTTCTGCACTCCCAGTGCTCCAAGCCAGCCTTGACTGCTTCCTTTCTGCACTCCCAGTGCCTTGTCTCCTTGACTCTATCTGGAGAGAACAGCCTCTCTCCTACCTGCTTCCTGGGAGGAATCCAGCAATCCATCTCCTTTACCTGCCTAGCAGGGAGGTGTTTATTCCCACTGCAATAGCTCATTAACTGCAGCTGAGCAGTGGGTTGGAGACGGTCCAAAAAACCCTGGCTTGGATCTATGTCTCCCCAGAAAACCACTAAACTGTGGAGTGGAGCATTGGCCCACCCTTCTCTCCAAATGCTCCACCCCAGGGGCCCATAACTAAACAAAGCTTTGGGTTGTGCAACACACAAACTACACGTACTTCCCCTGGGGTTAAAAGGCCTATCTGCCTTCACTTTATCACACCATGTAAAGGAAAAGAGCACAGATACCAAATAATCGTTTATTATATCAATATCAATGTAGCACCAATAAGTATCACACTGCTATATCAATGTAGCACCAATAAGTATCACACTGCTATATCAATGTAGCACCAATAAGTATCACACTGCTATATCAATGTAGCACCAATAAGTATCACACTGCTATATCAATGTAGCACCAATAAGTATCACACTGCTATATCAAGGTAGCATCTATAACTATCACACCGCTATATTGATATAATGCACGATTATTTGGGATCTGTGCTGTTTTCTTTTACATGGTGATATTGTAACCATCGAGAACCATTGAGAACCATTCAACAGAAATGCAATTTTTCTATTTACACTTTTGAGTGTATATAGAGGCTCGTTGCATTTATTTATTCTGTTTGCACTTTTTATTCATTCAAGAAATGTTTTTATTCATATCAATTTGCATACATTTGCAGTAAGAGGTGCAAACATGTTACAGTATAAGCTGGTGCAGGACAATAGTGCTGTATTACAGTGCAGTAAGGTTAATCATGATTGCAATAATGTGATTGCAGAACTTAAGTTAACTATGTAGATCATATCAATTTGCAGACATTTGCAGTTAAGAATGTGAACGTATTACAGTAAAATATGGCATCCGAAAATATTACAAAAGGTTATTGCATGCATGAAGGGTGAACGCAATTGCATCAAACTTAAAATAACGGAACCTCGTTGTGGTTATGCGTACATAACCCCCCCCCCCCCAAAAGTAAAATATGCAGCACTATCAGTGGTAACTTCAGGTAGAGGCATTAATACTCATTTAAAAACACAAAAATGATATGAGTGCATACATTATAGGTATAGCGAATAACTGGATGAAATTATGTGGGATTTTGTGTGTGAGAAATCTCCTGTTTACAGCAGTGCGTCAGGCCCACCGTCTATCCAAAGTATATATGTTTAGGAAGAAAGTCCTATTACTAGAGCTCGATACAGCGTAAGAAGTCATACATGTTAAATTCCATGTTAATATTGGAAGCGTGTACTATTATCCGGTGTATTGCTGATTAGTAAGTCTAAATAAAAAAAGTGTAATACTTAGAACTAAATCAATATACTAGATTACAGTTATAAACATTGAGCCTTTAATATGCGCAAGAAAAAGTAAAGAGCATAAGTAGCTTGTATGTTAGTTAATATCTGTGAGCCAGTGGTGGCTGGTAACTTATCGTGTGGCAGAAGCGATGTCTTTAACTAGGCTGTATAATCTACCCTATTCTGCTGCTGGTGTTGTGGATCTACGGCTTAAACTGTGTGTCAGGTTTGTAGCGGTGTAATCTCCCGCAAAAGATCAGGACAGTTGTAATGCGATAAAATAAAAAGAAAGGAAAAGGGAAAAAAGGCGGGGTGCCCCCTAGAATAAGGAGGGACCTGTGGGATAGGGCCCAACGTGAAGATCCCTAGCCGAGTCCTCTCATGGACTCCAGGGGCATATGCAATGTTACCCGACACCAGGTAAAGCCCACCACCATGAGCTTCTTGGCACAGCGGGCACTCGAAGGACCCTCCAGTCCATGAAAGCCCTCTTTCCTAGAGTCCACCAACTGAACGGCCTCTGCACCTCCACTGTCCCGGCAGAGTCTCAGTATATGAGATAGGACACCTCTGTGGGCCCCCTCTATGGCCGGCCACTCCTCCAAAGCATGGGCCACACGACCCCACGGCTACCGGCCCCACATTCCACCCCGGCCGGGCTCACAGCAATGGGGAGCAACACCCTCCAGGCCTCCGGATAACCTAGAGGTAGAGGTCATCGCTGTCCAACCCGAGACAGCCTGATTTTCATGGTGCCACTCGAGGCACCTGAGTGATGCGTGGGCAGTTTCCTGGGTAAGTATGTTGAGTCATCTCATCCATTCCCTGGTAAGGCAAGAAGGGAGTGTTCACAGTGTGCGTGCTGCCTCCCAGTCCGTGGCTGGTTGCATAGGGGCAAAGCTGTATCCAACATCCAGCAAAAGCAGGCTGAGAACAATTAACTCGTAAGTGGAAACTTGCAATTCAAAACCAGGAAACAGGTGACCGGGATAACCTCCCTGGTCCTAGGGGGAGTGCGGGGCCGCAGCGTGGTCTCTCTGGTCGCTTTTTGCAAATTGGGAAAGACAGGCACCGTCAGATCATGATAGTACATGGAGCATGTGCCGAGCATTTCCAGCATCAGCAATAGGCAGCAAGCTCATGTCATCAAGTAGGCTAGAGGCATCAGATTCCTCATTTTTGTGGGGTCGTCAGCCACCGACTGGTCTCCTTATAAAGCTTACTGGTTCCCCTGTTCAGATATATTATTTTGAGGGGCAGATGGTCGGTTTATGAGTGGTAAATTAGTGTTTATTTAGGCTCAGGACTGCAGCTGCACGAGATGGCTTCCTTTCAGCTCGACGGTCCATCCCTGCCCCCTTCACTTTATTTTCATCTGTATTTTAAGTGTGCTGCAGTTGTTATCTGGAGGCACAGCACTTAATTGTGTAGCAGCTTTTTATATGTATTAGTGTACATTACATTTATATATACATTTTTCTTCATTTGCAATTTAAGGGAGATTATCCATATTTTTACCCATTTTTTATTTGCCCCTTTGAATGCCTTTTTAGCGCTTTTTGCAATATTTCAAATTACTTTATAAATACCTCGCTCTGCCCATATACTGACTGACATTTATGCTAGAAGATACCGTGACGAAGTGCCCTTCGCCACTTGTCCTGGAGAGGCCTACTTGCCAGCCTCCTCCCCTGTGACTATGACTCTTTCATCTCTCTGGCTTTAAAGCCCCTAGTCTACCTTCAGACAGACTATTTATGTGGGCTGCTTTATTTATCCTATGTTTTAGTCACCCTGTACCCATTATAGGTGCAGGGTGTGTGTAATGTAATTGTTTATAGTGTGTGTGTGTGTACTGTGTAATGTATTGCCTGCTCTCTTGTATTGCTGAGGTTTGCTACCAACTAGGTGGGTTTGGCTATGGAGCTGGTCTAGTGCCCTCTGTTGGTAGCAACAGCAATATGCACTACCTGAATTGCAAGACTGGTTCATTTGCATATTCGGGTAGATTTGCATATTGCTAATTCTGCAGGCAGGTGAGATATTTACTGTTAAATATTGTCTCCCCCCACCCCTTTAAAATGTGCCATTGTGTTGTGATAAGTCACTGTGTGTTTCTTGATATGGTTTGACTGTTTGTGATTTTATTGAGGTTTCACAACAATGTTATTGTGGTGACTGTATTGGCTGGTCCCAAGGGAATAAAGGTTTTGACAGTTCTTCTTGATCCCTCTAAACGTAGCCTTGTCTCGTTATTGGAGGGAGCTGTTATAATCACACTGGGGATTGCTATGCTCTGCATGCTCCCCTGAGCTTGAATCACTTAGCTCTTTTAAGAGCTTGTTCCTGACACGCTCTCCTTGGAGGAGGGGTCTTCACCACACAGTCCTGGATGCTGGAGGTTCGTACAGGGTGGAAGGAAGAGTTCTTTCCCACACAGTCCTGGAGGACAGAAGCTGATCCAGGGTGGAAGGAAGACGGCGAGACTCCAGTCAAGATACGGCAGTTGCGGAGTCTGCGGTGGTTGCGGTGTCTGCTGCAGTGCTTGGAGTCCTCAGGAAGCGCTAGGAGCATCCGTCAACGGAGGGTACTCAGTCGGAGTACAAGGAGCTCCGTTATAGATACAGTAACTTGGACCTCAGCTGAAGCCACTTTTCTGAGTGGAGAATGTTCTGATCACAAACAACTTAGACCACTTTCTTGGGTGACAATAGTCCTTATATCTGTGCTATCTATGGCTCTCAATAGGCGATAAAGGTTTAAACAAGTTAATATATGTTATGTACAATGTAAAACTTCATCATAAAACCTAATTAAACATTTATTAATTTTTCTCTAGTGGTGCCAAAAGTACAGATCTTCTCTTCAAGAAGAGGTGAAGACCAGGAACAGGTCTTCTTCTGCGATGTTCAAGGCTTTTACCCCGAGGCCATGACAGTAAACTGGCTACTAAACAGAAGAAAGATTGAGATCCCCAGTAAAAATGCAGATGGCAGTTTTAATAAGGAAAGTTACTACCGCGTCCAGTCTTCACCTGATAACCAAGTAACAAATATCTCCTGTGAGGTGCAACATGAAACATTGATGGATCCCGTGATCAAGACATTGAGACTGCCACGGGAGGGTGAGTTAATGGTAAAGTATTCAGCTGGGAAGGATCCATGTAGACTAATATTATTATCCATTATATGCATCTACAACTCGCTATGATGAAATATTTATTAAACTTACCCATTAACCTTCCCTACATTCCAGCTTCAGCAATCTTTGTGGATTGTAATGGTTTGCTATTGGTTAAGTCTATTTGCACACCACCACCGTCACACACAGCCTCCCCATGTGGCAGAGGTTTTAGGTTATAATAAATCAAATGAGACCTGGTCGATGACCTCCACTCCATGTGTGGAGAATAGACTTTTAAAATTTCGATTTCGGTTGATGTCTGATTTGGTTTGGCTGAAATTTGGCCAATACTTTCATTTTGGTATTTTAATTCAGTTGATTGGAATGCAGCGGTTACCTCCAAATCTTTTAGTGGTTTAGATAAGTAAATACATCCCTTATTTAGTACTTTAGTTTTATGTGGGATATCAGTATTTAAGGGTACCAAATTAGGTAGGGAAGTGAGTTTCGTACATAGCTTCCTATTTTGGTATGGGTAAATATGTCAATCATACAAAAGCATACCAAATTAGAGCGTTATCTACTAAACAGCTGAAAGATTAAAATTAAGAAAAACCCTTTAAAAACCATTTACTTGATTACCTTATGCCAGCGCCGATGGCCCTCAGCACTGGGACAACGATCCACCCCCTCCAAAGTCCTGTGATGAGCAGATGCTAATGCACATGCTCGGAAAATGCAGCATGTGCGAATTAGACCTCATTGAATCAATTCTTTCCTATTGGGAAAAATCTGACGCTAGATATCCTCATGCAGAGCGTGAGCTTAAGGTCCCTTTTGATGCAGGATGCACCTCCAATGGTTGTCTGGTAGACAGCCACTGTGTGCAAACTAAGTTCAAAAGGGACACTGTGACCCAACCACTTCAATTTGCTGAAGTGGTCTGGGTGCCTATAGTGTCCCTTTAAGTCAAGTAACCAGAGGCTTGTCAGTTGTAGATCTCATATAGAAAGCCATTAAAAAAAATATTAAATACAAATTAAATGATTACCTACTGCTCTCACATTTCTTGCAGATGAGGATGAGTTGGGGAGCAGCACTACCAGTCTCATGGCAGCCATCTTGGGATCCTTTCTTGTAACAGTAGCTGTGTCTCTCGCTGTATTTTATAAGAAGATATACAAGGATAGAGGTAATAATTCTTCTTTTTCTTATACTCTATTAAATATATATGTATATACACACACACATACATTATAATCAAAATATAAATAATAATAGCTTTAATGTTATAGTGTGCTCCCTCCTAAAACTTACTGGATGGGTACAGGGCTGGTTGAGAGCATATAGAAGATCAGACCAAGCTAGTAATACTGTATACAGAGCACTGCGAGTCTGGGATTTGTATTTGAAGTTGGTTAGAGAGTGCGTTAAACTACTTGGGTGAGAAGACACGAAGATTTGTTTGTTACTCTTGAGGTCAAAAAGTAAATGACCACATTGTATGAAGTCTATCGAGAGCTTAGACTAGATAACTGAAACTGTCTCAATAGACCATCTGGAAGATACATTTTAAAAGCCAATTCTTTGACGGACCAATTTTCTTTTGTTTTGTTCACGGTTGAATAACTATTGTTAAAACTCTAAATGAACAGGAATGTTGATAAACTCTTACAGTCAGTTATACTGCCTACATTTGCCATAATATATATTGCTGAATGATCAAACACTCTGTATTGTACTTCTAATTACTTGACATTACCAAGAAAAAGTATTTGGGGGAAAAAAAGCCAATTCTTCACATTGGACCATCCTGGAGATATCGAAGACTAAAACCTAAACTCCTAACATGCAGTTTACCTGGAGTTTGGTCCAAGCTCTATGTTAGTAAGTAACACGTTATGAATTCTGTAAAGAGTAATTTAAGGAAAAAGCTGTAAATGTGGAGCAACTACCATGGAAACTAATGGACTATTCCTGACGATTTCTTCACATTAAAATGATCAACATAATGTTTAATCTTCATATAATAGTTTCATTTATGTTCATATATATCTTGGACTTTTCCACAACAGTTATTTAAATTATAATTTATTTCTATTTGTAGCACAGTGATCAGTAAATATACTGAAGGATATACCTTTAAATATACTAATAGGAGGTAATATAAAAAAATAAATAAAAGAAAAACAAGCAATCTTTTTAGGACCATAGCTGCTCTCGTTTTTCGTTTCAATAAATATAACAGGGCATTTTCTTTGGTTATTTGTTTCGTTATTAAACGTGAGGGGAAACATATTTTGCTTTCACAGAACATTTGATGAATTCTAAAATGTTAGTCAATGTTGACTAAAGATTTAGTAAAATGAACTATAATACATTTGCTCAGTTCTCATCTATTGTAAGGAAACCTAGTATATTCAATCCTCATTCGGTAGTTTCCTCCCGAACCGCCAGAGTATAGCTCTCCGTTCGGTAGATAGAATAGACAAAATCCATATGAATACAAATAGCTTTACAAGATAATTCCCTTAATAAATACAAATCCCCAAACATCAGCCGAACTCAAGAAGAAGGGTACAACAGAACTGGCTTTTAATGACCACACGCAGGCTTTTATTCAAGTCCCCATGCAAGGGGACATCCCACAGGGAGGGACACAGTACAACCAATCAATAACAGGAAACAGTAAAACACACCCAGCACAAACATATAATTCCCTCCCCTAGTTCTGGAGATAATCAAGTCTGATAAAGTAATAACTTGATTATCTCCAGGCAGAAAAATCACAATTTTTCCCAATATCCAGAACACCCCTTTAGGCATATGGTATCCCCACAAATAATATGTCCCCTGATAGCCCCGATCTGGGTGACCAACATATTCAAATTTCACCCATATCGGTTCAGGGGTTTTCAAAAAGTGTGGAAGTCCTTTGTGACCGGCTAACCGCGAGGTGGCTGCCCAAAACAGTTCCAGGAGTTTGGGTGGTTTTGCCGGTCTATTCAGTTAAGTGGCAAAAAATGAATAATTCCACAAATGGATTCCCCTGGCTCTTAGCAGCGATTGTTCCCCTCATTCGAATGCACAAAAGTACCAAATAGTGCTCTTCTAGCTATTCGGGAAATAGAGATCCAGCGTTTGCTTGTTGAGACCGGTGTCCGGGAAGTCGAGTGTCCGATTTTAGTTCCAGGCACTCGACGACCAAGTCCCGCTGCCTTTGTTCGCCTGAAAAAAGATGGCCGCCGTTTTCTCAGCCACGTGGCGTTCGGTAGTACGAACGCTGGCCGAACAGATAGAGGGTTCAATTGAAGCATTCTTTGAAGTTTAACAAGCCAGGGGGTGGTCTCTGTTCAGTAGTTATATCTACCGAATGAATATGGAAGAAATAGTAGCATAAAGAGGGATTTCTTCACATCTATAGTTTGTGATGCTGAGTTCTACAGGTTTGGAACATGATCATTCTCTTCCATAAATTGGTCAACTATATTTCTATCTTTTACCTCTTTAATATTTTTTACCTCTTTATATTTTTTCAACAGGCTTCCAGCAGTTTCTAGTGAGCCCAATATACATGCCTGAGATGTGGGGTGAGGATAGAAAGGTCACCCTGTATTGTACGGCTTCCAACTGCCCAAAGAAGGTCCAGGTGACATGGACTGTGACCGATGCTGATGGACAGAGCGTCATGATGTCAGATAGAGAGAGTGAGAAGGAGAAGTTACCGAGTGATTATACTGTAAGAACTGACCAATCACAGGCTGATGGACAGAGCTTCATGATACCAGATGAAGTGATTGAGAATGAGAGGTTACTGAGTGATTATACTGTAAGAACTGACCAATCACAGACTGACAGGATGCACAATGTTATCACTGCGCTAAACATCACACCCAGTGTATCAAAACACAGAGACACGAAGATTGTCTGTAAGTTTATCTGTGATGGGAAAACCAAGGAGAGAAAAATCAAATGGAAATTTCAACTACGTAAGTCAAATGTTTCTTTAAATACATACTGTAATGGAGCTAATTGCACATGCAGATTTAATCTTAATGTAATTCTGAAGACTGTTTCTGTAAGGAAACCTTGTATATCCTACTCCCATTCTGTAGTTTCCTCCTGAACGGCCAGAGTATCAGTGATTATAACTCGCTGTTCGGTTGAATAAAGTAAGCGAATTCCCATACGAAATAACAGCTTCCCAAGTAGATTCTCCCAGTAAAGCAGACAGTTACCCAAACATCAGCCGAAGTCTAGATGAAGGGTGTAACAGAACTGAAGTTTTATGATGCCACACTGGCTTTTATGCAAGTCCCCGTGCAAGGAGACCTCCCACAGGAACATAAATCATGCAGCCAATTATAAACAGAGAAACACTTAAACACTCCCAGTACAAACATATAATCCCCTCCTCTCTGCCTGGAGATTATTGAGGCTGATAAAGTAATAACTTAATTATCTCCAGGCCGAGAGGAGAGTTTTACCCAACTTTTAAAATGCACCCTAAAACATAAGGTATCCCCACAAAAGTCATATCCCCTGATAGTCCTGATCTGGGTGACCAACATATCCAAAAATCACCCAGATCAGTTCAGGGGTTTTCGAATTTTATGGAAGTCTTAGATGACTGGCTAACCACGAAGCTCCTGCCCAAAACAGTTTTGGTGGTTTTGCCGGTCTAATTCGAAAAGTCTAAAAAACTGAATAAATCCACGAACAGTTTCCCCTGGCTCCTAGCAACGATTGTGCCCCTCATACCAATGAACAAAAGTACCAAATAGCGCTCTCCTAGAAGTTTGGGAAACAAAGATCCAGCGTTCGTATGTTGGGACCGGTGTTCGGGAAGTCGAGTGTCCGATTTTAGTTCCAGACACTCAACAACCAAGTCCCGCTGCCTTTGTTTGCGCAAACAGGGAGAGGGCTTAAACGATGGTTCGCTTTGAAGTTAATGAGCCAGGGGGGTGGTCTCTGTTCAGTAGTTACAGCTACCGAATGAAATAACATACAATAACCGAAATAACTTTGTGATTTCTTCACAGTTTCTATTGAGATACCTTCCATACATCGATCCTGTGTCCCTGTCTGTAACTACCTGTAGAGTGTTTATATTTCATAGAGTTTAAAAAATGTTGTGCAAACCCACACCAAATATAATACCGGAAATTGCGAAGATTTTTAAAATGTTAAAATGTTCCAAAGACGTACTGACCTAGATGTAGGTTTTTATGGTGACTTATGAGGCTTCCCTTTTTGTTTGTTCCTTGTTTTTTCACAAGTTATCTGTAAACTGTTGATCACCATCTAATAGTCTAGTAAACAAGATTGTGAGCTAGGTGTCCAGTAATCTAGATAATCAGTTAGTAGTTAGTTTGTGTTCTAGATTACTAGCTAGTAGTATTGACCATCAACTAAGTAAATGTCTGTTATATTTTACATTCTCTTTGTGATGCACTTAATTTATTAACCTTTATAATTGTTTCAAATACCCCAAATAATCTGTATCAAAATACACTGAAATACAAGGATAGATAGATATATTATTTATTCAATTTAGATTAATCTAGACCTAAACTTCTACATATTTGATACATTCATACATACAGAAACAGTATGGCCCATTCCAATCACTGGTGATCTTTTAAAATAAATGAAGAAATTGTGGGATCAAATTTTGATATCCCAATCATTACAGATTCCGTTGATTCTGCTTTATTTCCCAGCAAAACCCCAGATAGCGGATGAGAATCCTATTAAACTATCGTTGTGTGACTCGGGTGACGTGCTCTGCTCGGCCAGTCTGCAGAACTTCAGTCCTAAAGATATTCAGATCACATGGAGCTGTGGAGTTGGACATTACCAGGATCTGGAGACGTTTAAGGAGACAGTTATAGTAAATTCCCAGCAGACGTTTGATGCCGACAGTGAATGCAGGATTCCTGGTGACCTATTTAAAGAGCCAGGATTTAAAGTACGCCTCCACTGGAGACACGAATCCATGGATGGACCTAAATGGAGGGAAGTGTCTGCGACAGGTAATGATTCCAGTATTTGCACTTTTACAATTGCTACTTTTTTCAAGGGTTACTCCATTCCTTTTTTGGGGGGTTGTGGGGGGGGGGGGAAATGTTTTACTATTTAAAGTATTTACTAATGGAATCCAGTGCTCGGCGAAGCTCCCAGTACTGCCTTCCATGCCTCCAATCGATGTCACCCAGGTGCCTCGTGTGGTTCAATCACAGGCTTCTTAGAGGTGGTGGAGAAATTGGGATGGAGAGAAAAATATATATATATATATGTATATAAAAAAAAGAAGCAATATCGAGCTGATAGAGAGGCGTGGAGGGCTCAGAAAATTGAAGGAGGAACAGGACATTCATGCATTCCCTTGCAGGCTCTGCCAACAAGGGAAAAGTCCAATACATCCTTTGCCAGGAGGCAGTGTGCAACTGACAACAGACGCATTGTATGCACAGAATTTACAGACTTCCGGGCTGCCAAGGTCATATGTGCTGGGATGTTAATAGCCCCCTGCACACCTGCCCAGATTACTCTGTATGTTCAGCGTTTCCATCTGCACATATCACTGATGTGATCATGCTGGTTGGAGTAACCCTTTAAACAATAAGCAAAACTGATGTAATGAAAAGATGATAACAATTGTAATTCAGACTGCTTGCTCTGTTTGTGAATAGCACCAAACACTAAAAGAGCAGTGGTGAAACATGTTCCTCTTGAACCAGGAACATTAAATTATCATTGACCCAGTCTGTAAATAGTCTATTAGCGGAGGAAGAGGAGACCCTTAGACTTTTGCAATACCTTTCAGCTGCATTGAACGATTCAAATGCCTGTCAATCAATGGATGAATTAATCAATCAGTTAGTCAAACCCAGAACAAAAACTGGTTTGTTAATCCTCTTACAGTTTGGGCAATTTCTAATGTTTTATTATAATTGTCATTTAAAATGGGTATATAGACTCAAATGTTATGATTATGTTTAGGCATATTCATTGGCGTGTTTTATATACCTGTTTTGTATGTTTGTCAAATAGGTTCAAGGAAACCATCAAAATAGACAATCTATTATGGATCCCCATAATATTTAACAGCAAAAATGTCCCCAATTTAAAATTTAATTTACTCCAAATAATCAGACTATTAGTCTATTGATGTGTGTGGGGTAGTAAACACTATAACAAGCCATCAAGCCAGGTCAGTTAGGAGTTAGAAGGAGAAGAAGGCCTGAGAATGTAACATCCAGTCAGGTACTTGTAAAGTGTTTTGTAAATAAATAAATTGTACATGTTATGTGTAAACTGTTAGTTTTTTTTTATGTTTAAAGGGACATTATAGTCACCTGAACAACTTTAGCTTAATGAAACAGTTTTGGTGTATAGAACATGCCCCTGCAGCCTCACTGCTTAATCCTCTGCCATTAAATCCCTTTGTTTATGAACCCTAGTCACACCTCCCTGCATGTGACTTACACAGCCTTCCTAAACACTTCCTGTAAAGAGTCATCTAATTTTTACACTTTCTTTATTGTAAATTATGTTTCATTTAGAATGTATTATCTCCTACTCTGCTAATAGCTTGCTAGACCCAGCAGGAGCCTCTTGTGTGTGATTAAAGTTCAATTTACAAAACAGGAGATATAAACAGTTCCACCAGACTCTGTGCCAGCAGCTGATTGGAGCCCTGGGGCTCTCCCCAATCTCCTGTGAGGTAAGTTAGATGAGGCATACTGTCAGGAATCTTTATTCGTTTATTACTGGCCCTTCCAGACGGCATATGAAAGAACACACCCCTTGGTTATTTAAACTCCGATCTCCAACACCTCAGTGCACAATTAATGTGTTAATCTGATTGATTGCATCAACTTCCTTGCTAATCATTGGGATCACTCCTAGAGAGACCGTGTGTTCTATCACCAGACCCGTTCAGAATCTCCTCTTCATACCCCTATATATTTGATTACCTGGTTAACTAATTCGGACCGGCCTTGACTCTGCTTTTGGAATTTCTTTCAATACTGCTTGATCTCCTATTGAACGACCTCGGACTGGATAAAGGGCATTGCTTATGGACTAACCCTGGACACATCACCTAAACTTCTAATTTCAAGGACTGTCAGTTTATCTCTCTGCTTTGCTGCCACATCAGTTTGCCGTGCTGAAACTGCCTCAAAATAAAAAGTGAGTGGTTCTTATTTTTTTGTTTGGCATTTGTTAAAGAAAAAACATGACACATACGGTATAGTAGGTGCAGAAACTAAAAAACAACAACATGGCTCTCAGTCTCTGCAAAAATGCAAGACAAATGCGATCAAATGCCTAAAGTTATGGTGCCCAAAGTGCACTTGTTGCTTCCATTCTGCCTTAATAGGAGCATCCGCCATCTTGGAATCACCAGGTCAGTATAATGTAGGTTTGAGAGAGTAACCTGAGAGTAGCCACAACATAGTCAGTGTAGACTGGGATAACCTCCACCGACCCAGAGCAGGGGAACAGAACACGGTGAATAGCTGGAGGACTACAATACAGAGAATTTTCAATTCTGCAGCTTCATGCACTGCAGCAGACATTATATATAATATATTATAGTATTAAATATATATTTTTGGGTGTTTGTCAAATACATAGGTGTCAAGGCACAGCTTGGCATACAATGTAAATCACAGGAATACTATAAGCTCATACAATGCCATACTGCACATGCTTTCTCATGGTCTTTACCCAAACAAGTATTGTGTATGTTCAGTATATAATTAGACAAAGCAGCCAATCACCAGAAAAGCATCTGAAGTAAATGTGTTTTTATTTATAGTGTTTTTGTAATACTTTAGGAAAAATTTATTTGGAACTCAACCGCAGGTGGATGAATACATTTGATAGTGTCAATTTAAGAAAATATAATTTATTGAAGTGAAGTAATTTAACTTTGGCAACCTTCTGCAGCAATAAGATTTGGAAATAATAATGCATAAGTAATGGTAATCTTGCTAGTATTGTTTCAAAATAGTTCAGTCTACCTTAGAAGCCAAGGTGCGAAATTCTATGGCATAATTTGAGATAGACCGGTTCCCTTGTTTGATATGCATTAGGGCAGTGGAGGCGTCATCCTCCCTGCCTAATGGTTTAAAGGTCAATTTGAAGGAATTCCTGGTAATTATGTTCAATACTCCTATTACTCTTCCATAACGTATTGGCCCATGCTAAGGTTTTACCTTTAAGTTGGTTCATTAGGTAAACCAATCTTAGCTCTATCCAAGGGAAAAGATCATGGTAAGGGCTCAAAATTTTACTCAATTTGATTTAGAAATCCCCGGCATTCTTGAATATTATCATCAAAATGTGGGGGAGGAGATAGGGAAGTAGTAGTTGCCTTATGTACTATAGGTGTAGGTACAGTAGGCGGAGGTGACATAGTCGGAGAAACCTCAGGATGTAGATGCATTGTTAGAGTAAGAAGCATACTGAAAGCCTGGGCAAATTGATCCATACGATGATCATTTACATTACCCGCCACCTGAAGACTGCCCACCAGGCAGGCAGGACCCAGCTTGAGGGGAAACTTGGCATGGAAATAGCTAATCTTGCGGCGTGGTTTTAGCAAAGAAACATGAAATGTATTAGGAATATGTAAGGAGGCAGGGAAAGCCAAAGAATATGAAACAGGATTAATTCTATGAAGGATACAAAATGGACCAAGGAATCTGGGAGCAAACTTCATGTTAGGAACTTTAATTGTGATGTTGCGCGATGATAACTACACCCTCTCACCCGTGCCATTGGTTTGGGGATGGTAAGAGGAAGAAAATGACAATTCAATGCCCAACTGTTTATTGAAAGTCCTCCAAAACCGAGACACAAACTGAGAACCTCTGTCAGATACAATATTGTGAGGAATGCCATGTAGTCGGACAATTTCTCATACAAGTAAGAACCAGGTCTTGAGAGTATGGCAACAAGACATGTGCAATTAGTTTCGGTCCGAATTGCTTCTGAATGTCCCAATTGTCGAAGTGCCGAATTTTGGAAGTGCTGAAGTGCCTTGGATTTCTGAAAAGTGGCAAAACAGGAGAGGGAGGAAAAATTAAAGAAATTATGACCGGAATATAACCCTACCCCTATAGGGGTAGGGTTAGGTTTAGGGGTAGGGTTAGCGGTAGAGGAAGGTTGGGATTAGGGTTTGGAGTAAGGTTAGAGTGTCGGGGTTAGGGTAGAATGCAGTTGGGGTAGGGTTAGGGAATTCAAACACAATAAAACAAATGAAAAGATGGCGCTATCAATAAAATTATAAAAATAAAAAAATAGGAGCAGCACCTAAACAGTGTATTAGCCTGATCCCTTGTAGCATAAACGGTCCTGCTGCTGGGTAAGTGCAGTTTCCGGATGGCCAAAATGTTCCTGCAAGTTCCTATTGCGGCTCTGTTCGCAATCAGGCTACTTCCGGGAGGCGGGTTAAGCGTGATGACGTAAGATGACGCGTTTCACTGAATTAAACAGCTTCCTCAGATTTTTTAGTGTTAGGGAATTGACAAAGTCCCGAATTTCGCAAGTCCGAACCAAATATTTTGCCCATGCAGATCCCTAATCGCAACTTTTTGAGCGGAACAAAATGAGCCATCTTGGAAAAGTCGTCACCCACCATAAGGATGGTGGTATAGCCATTAGAACAAGGAAGTTCCACAATGAAATCCATGGACAAATGGGACCACGGAACACTAGACAAGGGTAGTGGATGCAATAATCCACATGGAAGCTTATAAGGTACCTTAGAAACTGCACACACAGAACAGTCCTGCACATATTCCTTAACTTCTTTTCTGAGAGAATCCCACCAAAATGATCTCCTGATTGTAGATATAGATTTATTAATGCCTGGATGTCAAGCAGTTACGTTGTTGTGGAACACCCTCATGACCTTCTCTCTCAACCAACGGAACAAATAATTTATCTAGTGGTTTATTGCATGGTGACTGAGATTGAGCCTCCATGATGGCGCCAAGCAGAGGAGATGACAATGAAAGGACAGTGGATGCGATGATACACTGAGGTGGAATAATAGGGGATGTCTCTTGTTCCTGGACTGATTCAGTATCAAACTGTTTAGATAAGGCGTCCGCCTTCACGTTTCTGGGACCAGGTCTGTAAGTTATCAGAAAGTTGTAGGGAGAAAGGAACAAAGACCATCTAGCCTGTCTAGAAGATAGTTGTTTAGCATCCCCTTGTGGCAAACCTAGCCACTTGGACTATAACTAGAGACTATGCCTTTAAGGGTTGCCTATAGGTCTGGGGAGATATGCGCTTTACTCTTATGTGTATGCTTTATGTATTCTCTGCATTGCCTGTAATTGCCGTTTCCGCTGAATGCAAATGGCGGTTTGTATGGGGGTTTCGTGAACCGAACGCAATACCCCTAATAGCCCACACACTTAGAGGCGTGTGGCGCTAGTTAACCGATTGCAACAATGTTGCAATCGGTAATTAGAGGCTCTCCTGGGTGGCCGTCGTTCGACTACCGACCATGCGGCGGTCGGCCATCTTGGATCCTTTGTTCCCTCAGCGGTGCTAGGTCGTCGAGCGCATGGTACTAAAAACGGCTACTCGACGGCACGAACACCACTGAGCCTCCAGGACGTTCGGGAGTTTCGGGTCATTCGGTATTTTGTTCCCTGCAAGCAATCGGTTCTTTTTATATGTTTTATAAGAAATGTGTCTTTCGTGCGGCGTTCGGTTATTTTAGCTGGGATCTGAGCGGTAATCTCACGAATGAGGCGCTCAGACCCCAGCTATCTACCGAACGTCCATTCGTGTAAATCCACCATGTATTCAACAAGTTATGGATTTTTGTGTAAATTGTCGGTTCTGCTGCACGAGGGGATAATCCACTTAACGGTGCATTCTGGGAAGATGATCCCTCTCGTGCAGCGGTGCCTGATGGGAGAAATATGTTGTAATGTAAGTCCCCCGTGTAGTCCCCTCTGGGAGTGCCCCTGGGGAGGGACTCAGGAAACCCCTTGCATGGGGACTTGTATAAATTGTCCAGCCGATTAAAAGGATTTCAGTTGACTCTCAGAACTGTGTCTCGTCTAGTTACTGGGAGGTTGGGGATATTGCCTTGTTGTTTCAGCGCTTGACTGTGGATTATTTCCTGAACCAGCGGAATTCGTGGATTTATTATTGGCGTTCCGCTACACCCCTATATAAGTCAAATTCTTGTGGTCCATAATGATCAAAAGGGGGTCCTTGGAACCCTCTAAAAGATGTCACCACTCTTTAAGCACTGGCATAATGGCCAATAATTCTCTGTTGCCAATATCGTAATTACGCTCAGCGGGAGACAGCTTTCTAGAGAAGTACCCACATGGATACAAAGGGGTATCCTGACTCTCCCTCTGAGAGAGAACAGCCCCTACCCCAGTTTCGGAGGCATCAATCTCCAGTATGAAGGGTTTGCTGGTGTCAGGATGTATCAATATGTCAGCAGAAGCAAACCTTTATTTGAGAAACCCTTTGATAAATCTCCTGTAATAATTAGCAAACCCAATAAACCTTTAAATGGCTTTTAGTCCATGTAGAACAGCCTCTAGTTTATGAGGCTCCATCTGAAAACCAGAGGCAGAGATGTTATACCCCAAAAACTGTACTTCAGTCTGATCAAAGATGCATTTTTCCAGTTTGCAATACTTGTTTGACATGTTTGTGGTGAATCTGAAGGTCATGGGAATAAAAAGGGATATCATCTAGAAAGACCAAGGCATTTTTCATGGGGATTTTGTTTAATGCCCTGTAGTCAATGCATGGATGTAATTCACCATCTTTTTTTTAGATACAAAAAAGAACCCTGCACCAGCAGGCGAGGATGATTTACTTATGTGGCCCTTACTTAGAGAGTCTTTGATATACTCTTCCATTGTTCTACTCTCCTGTTGTGATAAAGCATATACTGTGTAACGGATCACCTGGCACCCCGACTGGGTACCTCCGTTGAAGGATGCTCCTAGCGCTTCCTGAGGGCTCCAAGCATTGCAGCAGACACCACAACCACGGAACCGGAGAAGCATGTGAATGCTCTGAAGCATATGAATGTTGTAAACAGCTGAAAAGGAAAAACATACAATCAGCTTACACTCCTGGCAATCAGCTTACAATCCAATTCCCCCAATAACAAGACGACACTTAGTTTTGAGGTCAAGCAAAACTGACTGGACTGGCACATACAGCCTCTTTTATTCACAATCCACAAATATAGTACTGCCCACAGGGTTTTGAAACACAGCCAATCAATCCGTACAATACACACAGACACTCCCACACAAAATCCTCCCGTCTGCCTGTGATATGATTACTGAACACAATGGGTAATATAATTATCACAGACAGAGAAATACAGTTTTATAAAACATATCACAGGGACCCCAAAACATGCAATAACCCCATAAAAATGGTATATCCTCGGAACCAGGGGATGTGGGTGAACTTCATATCCAAAATTCACCCAGATCCGTTCAGTACTTTGGAAGATACGGTTTAATGCAGATTCTGCAGAACATATACAGGCTATATGAAAAACAATTACTGTATAATGTGTCCCCTGTTGTATAGTCCAAAACCACTGCACGATGTCTCTGTGCACCAAATACCGGTGAGATGGCACCGTGTAGAAAAGTCCAAACAGTGTCTGTGGGTTAAAATGGCCGCCATCCATTGTTCTCACCATGTGCTTCATCCATTGTTCTCACCATGTGCCTCTGATACATGAAATGGTGGCCACCCAGTAACTCCACAGTATGTCCCCAGATGGTTCTTAAAGGGCCAGCAGCAGCACAACACAAATCCATTATACCCAAATCATGTCCAGGAAGCTGGCAATCAGTCTTCTCCAATGCCCAGTGGCGAGGTCGGTTTCATCACATACTGCTCCCTTGGGTTGCATAGCACCGGGTAGCAGATTTATGGAACAGTCATATAATCTGCAAGGAGGTAGAATATTGGTCTGACTCTTACTGAATAACCTTCCAGTATTGTATGGGAACTACAGAGGACTGAGGCATAGTAGTGGGTAATGTAACGATGTCCACTCTTTTGATAATGTGCAACCAAGTACAATCCTTGCCTCCATTCCAATATTTCCCCCCTCTTCCCAGTCAATATGAGTATTGTGCTTCATAAGACAAGGAAATTCCAATATGATGGGACAAGAAGGAGAAACAATTATTTGAAATGTTATGTCTTCCTTATGTAAGGCACCAATGGAAATGTTAATGGGCAAGGTTTCGTAAGTAATTAGGGGTTGAGAGCGAGGTCTCCCGTCAATAGCCTCAACGGCTAGAGGTGATAATCTCTCCTTGATAGGTATATAATGTTTTTTAATAAAATGAACATTAATGGAGTTTCCTGATGTGCAGTCACTTCCTCCCAGCTCTCTCTGATATCATCACAGGGGACCTGGTCACTGCTGGGTGCACTGTTAAAGTGCGCAGCACTGACCAGGCCACCTGACAATCCGTCTCCTTGGACCCCTTGGCATGCGGCCCCGGCGATTTGGGGCCGCAAAAGATGGTGGCAACTGGTACCCAGTCGGAGGGGTATGCAGGGCGGCCGGTCCTCGTGGAGTGACAGGCCTGGTTGCAGCTGCGACCCCTGCAACCGTGGTATGTACGCCGCTGATGACAAATGTGATAAACTCATTTAATTTTTTAGGTAGATTTTTGGCAGCAATCTCGTCCAGAATTGCTTCGGATAATCCTTTTTTAAATGCAGAGATTAATCCGCTATTAGTCCAGTCTACCTCAGAAGCCAAGGTGCCAAATTCTATGGCATAATCTTAGATAGACCAGTTGCCTTGTTTGATATGCATTAGGGCAGTGGAGGCGTCATCCTCCCTGCCTAATGGTTTAAAGGTCAATTTGAAGGAATTCCTGGTAATTATGTTCAATACTCCTATTACTCTTCCATAACGTATTGGCCCATGCTAAGGTTTTACCTTTAAGTTGGTTCATTAGGTAACGAATCTTAGCTCTATCAGATGGAAAAAAAGGGCTCAAAATTTTACTCAATTTGATTCAGAAATCCCCGGCATTCTTGAATATTATCATCAAAATGCGGAGGAGGAGATAGGGAGGTAGTAGTTGCCTTATGTACAGTAGGTGGAGGTGACCCAGTCGGAGAAACCTCAGGCTGTAGATGCATTGTTCGAGTGAGAAGCATACTGAAAGCCTGGGCAAATTGATCCATACGATGATCATTTTCCCCTAGTCTCCCCTTGCATGCTGCTATGTATTGAAACAATTCTACAGGATCTATGGTCATGTCATAATGTCAGAATTCAAGTTGATCCAGCACGTAGAACTGTATCGCACCTAGGACTGAAAGGTAACGTCTTACCGGGCCTTAGAATGGCCGGATTTATCGTACCAGAGAATAGTCAGAATACTTGCCGAGGTCGTGGATACTGAATGAGACACAATGATGAGGGAAAGCCACAAGTCAGGGATACCAGAATACAGGGAAGTCAAAAGAAGCGGACGTGGGGCTACAATTTGGCGTGGATCCGCAGGGCCGGCGTCCACCAACATGTTGCAGGAGTCAGGTACACTGACGCATGGCCTCTAAGCGCAGATACCGCAAGGAGAGGATGAATATGTTACATATACAAAGGAGACAATTACCAAAAAAAAGAGCTTAAGTAAATGTTTTACTTACTTTTAGTGACTTTTACATAATAGCTTTTACTGCACGAAGCGAGGTGAACTCTCAACAGCTTAAATTCTTATTAAACCCCAGTCTCTTCCCTGATTGATTTGACCATTGTATCCCTTCTTGTTACAGACTTGCCTTGGCGCCCTCAGATAGGAGATATAATAATACAGGATTGGTTACACAGCGCTGAGGCCAAACTGCAATGTACAATCTCTGGCTATTTCCCTGATAATCTGGATGTCAAATGGTTCAGGAGGGAACCTGGAAAGCAGGAACTGTACCTTGTGTCTCCCAGTGAGAAATACAAGCTTCCAGTGATGGATGTAACCAGACAGGAGGATCGGACTTATACCTGTACAGCCAGTCTGATTGTCACAGTGTCCAGGAGAACTGATCATGGAGCAGAATTCATCTGCCAGGTGGGACATCCCAGTATGGAGAGACCCTTGGAGAGAAGAACAGGAGAACTAAGTGTGAAAGGTGGGTTTGGTTATATAGAAACTTATTGGCAGTAGAAAGAGGGAAGTGCTCATGCCATTGTGCAGAACACTGGTGAGACCTCACTTGGAGTATTGTACACAGTACTGGAGACTATATCTTCAGAAGGATATTGATACCTTAGAGAGGGTTCAGAGAAGGGCTACTAAACTGGTTCATGGATTGCGGGATAAAACTTACCAGGAAAGGTTAAAGGATCTTAACATGTATAACTTGGAGGAAAGACGAGACAGGGGGGATATGATAGAAACATTTAAATATATAAAGGGAATCAACACAGTAAAGGAGGAGACTATGTTTAAAAGAAGAAAAACTACCACAACAAGAGGACAGAGTCTTAAATTAGAGGGGCAAAGGTTTAAAAATAATATCAGGAAGTATTACTTTACTGAGAGGGTAGTGGATGCATGGAATAGCCTTCCAGCTGAAGTGGTAGAGGTTAACACAGCGAGGGAGTTTATGATAATGCTATCCTAGACTTAGAGGGAAACTATAGTCACCAGAACAACTACAGCTTATTGAATTTGTTCTGGTGAGTAGAATCATTACCTTCAGGCTTTTAGTTGTAAACACTGTTTTTGTTTTTAAAGAAAATGCAATGTTTACATCACAGCCTAGGCATACGTCCACTGGCCACTCCTCAGATGGCTACTAGAGGTGCTTCCTGTGGCAGTGCTGCACAGTGTGACTGACATTCAGTGTCTCCACCATCTACATAGAGACACTGAACTTTCCTCATAGAGATGCATTCATTGACTTCTCTATAAGCAGATGCTGATTGGCCAGGGCTGTATTTGACTTGTGCTGGCTCTGCCCCTGATCTGTCTCATTGACAGTCTCAGCCAATCCTATGGGGAAGCATTGTGATTGGCTGAGAGAATGACTTCTAAAGATGTCTGCCAAGCAGGCAGATCAGGGGCAGAGGCAGACTTGAATACAGGTAAGATTTTGCTATATTTAGGGAGGCAAGGGAGAGGGCAGGGGGGCTAGATGGTGGTTTTAACACTATAGGGTCAGAAATATATGTTTGTGTTCATGACCCCATAGTGTTCCTTTAAGATAAGGCCAGGGATTAATGAAAGTATTTTTTTAAAAATTGGGCAGACTAGATGGGCCAAACGGTTATCTGCTGTCACATTCTATGTTTCTATGTTTGATGTAGAGCAGATCCATAAACATCACTTCGGCACACAATGTACTCAGAATCAGTAACGTATTTACCCATAGACCTGGCATTAGGGATGATGGTTGTAGGGGGTAGCAGGCTCCTCGTCAATCGGCTGATTCTAAATGTAGCCATCTGTTTTATTACACGTGATGTCCCTTTATGCCGTGTTCTGTTCCCGGCCCTTGTGACCAGGGCCGCCATCAGGGCGTGACAACCATGGGCCCGGCGGTCCTGGTGGGCCCCACATTTCATATGTGCATATATAGATAGCGATTATCGCTATCTATATGTGCACCTGCGGGCCCCGGATACCTGTACAACATAGACGAGGTCCAGCCAGCACCATCTTAACTTTCCAGCAGCTCCTGTGCCTGTAACTCTCGCGAGCTCTGCGGCTGGTAGAGCGTTATCACGGGTTACCATGGCAACTCTCCGCCCGGCATGCAGGCACAGCTCACAAGAGTTACAAACACAGGAGCTGCTGGAGAGTTAAGATGGTGCTGGCTGGTCCCGTTCTACGTTGTACAGCAGCTGGCTTCCCTCCACCAGACCACCAGGGATGCAATCTCCCCCCTCCCTAGTCAGGTAAGAAGCATGGAAGGGGGAATACAATTGTGTGTTAAATGAATGTAAATACCACCAAAAAGGCTCCTGTGTCCCCTCCCCTCCCCAATGCAGACCCCTATTTTACACATTTACACACACTAAAACCACAACACAAACACACACTGCACATACTGTAGCGGAATGCCAATAGTAAATCCACGAATTCCGCTGGTTCAGAAACGAATCCACAGTCAAGCACTGAAACAACAAGGCAATATCCCCAACCTCCCAATAACCGGACGAGACACAGTTTTGGGAGTCAACTGAAATCCTTTTAATCGGCAGGACAATTTATACAAGTCCCCATGCAAGGGGTTTCCTGAGTCCCTCCCCAGGGGCACTCCCAGCGGGGACTACATGGGGGACTTACACGACAACATATTTCTCCCATCAGGCACCGCTGCACGAGAGGGATCATCCTCCCAGAATGCACCGTTAAGAGGATTATCCCCTCGTGCAGCAGAACCGGCAATTCACACAAAAATCCATAACTGGTTAAATACACGGTGGATTTACACGAATGGACGTTCGGTAGATAGCTGGGGTCTGAGCGCATCATTCGTGGGATTACCGCTCAGATCCCAGCTAAAACAACCGAACGCCGCACAAAAAACACATTTCTTTTAAAACATACGAAAAGGACCGATTACTGCTAGTGAACACGATCCTGAAACTCCCGAACGTCCTGGAGGCTCAGCGGTGTTCGTGCTGTCGAATAACTATTGGTAGTACTATGCGTTCGACAACCCGGTCCCGCTGAGGAACAAAGGATCCAAGATGGCCGACCGCCGCATGGTCGGTAGTCGAACGACGGCCACCCAGGAGAGCCTCCAATAACCGATTGCAACAACGTTGCAATCGGTTAACTAGCGCCGCACGCCTCTAAGTGTGTGGGCTATTAGGGGGTATCGCGTTCGGTTCACGAACGGCTCTCTAAAGGGCCGTTCGTGAAACGAAAGGAAATCCCCATACAAAATCGCCATTTGCATTCGGCGGAAACAGCAGTACAGGCAATACAGAAAATACATTAAGCATATACATAAGTGTAGAGCGCATATCTCGCCAGACCTATTGGCAACCCTTAAAGGCACAGTCTCTAGTTATAGTCCAAGTGGCTAGGTTTGCCACACATACCATACACACACTAAAACCACAACACAAACACGCACTGCACACACCATACACACTAAAACCACAACACACACTCACTGCATTCACCATACACACTAAACCCACAACACAAACACGCACTGCACACACCATACACACTAAAACCACATCACAAACACGCACTGCACACACCATACACACTAAAACCACATCACAAACACGCACTGCACACACCATACACACACTAAAACCACAACACAAACACACACTGCACATACCATACACACTAAAACCACAACACACTCACTGCATTCACCATACACACTAAAACCACAACACAAACACGCACTGCACACACCATACACACTAAAACCACAACACAAACACGCACTGCACACACCATACACACACTAAAACCACAACACAAACACTCACTCCATTCACCATACACACTAAAACCACAACACAAACACGCACTGCACACACCATACACACACTAAAACCACAACACAAACACACTGCATACACTATACACACACTAACACCACAACACAAACACGCACTGCACACACCATACACACACTACAAACTCACACTGCATTCACCATACACACACTAAAACCACAACACAAACACACTCTGCATTCACTACACAAACAAACACTTTATCTAAAACACACACAACTACATCCATTATACAAATGTGCACTCTGTATCCATTTTACACACCACACAGACAGGGCTTCCTTGTGGGCGGGCTCAGAATGGGCCCCGTGGGGAAACACTCGGGCGGATCCAGGGGGCCCAGACTTTGAACTGCGTCAGGGGCCCCAAAATGTCTGATGGCAGCCCTGCCTGTGACACCATCAGCACTGCACTGTAAGAACTTGTCAGGCAGCATATTAACTACTTAATGCCTGACACCTACTCAGTGTCGAGAGGTGGAGAGGCTGCAGTAAATTAACATCTATCTTCTGGCCAGGTTACAGTAGCTGGTTACATGTGATTTGTATCATTGGGACACATAGGCGTGCGCACGGGGTGTGCCGGGTGTGCCTGGGCACACCCTAATCCCCGTGCGCACGCCTATGGTTTGAGTCCTGCAGGAACAGCGTTCCTGCAGGCACTCAGTGCCCCCTGTTTCACCTCTTGCCCCTGTCATGGGAGGGCAAGAGGTGATGATTCCCCCCCACCTCCCCCACCTTGCAGGTCAGCGCGCGGCGAGGGAGCTCTCTGCTCTCTGCTCTCTGCTTCCTCTCGCCGCGCGCTGATGCCGGGAGCCGGAATATGACGTCATATTCCGGCTCCCAGCTCCAGCAGACAGCCCGCGCGGCGAGAGGGAGCAGAGAGCAGAGAGCAGAGAGCTCCCTCGCCGCGGCTGAACTGGAGAAAGGCGCCCGCCCCCACTGGACCCCAGGGACAAGTCCACCAGCACTCCAGGTAGGAGGCTGGGTGGACATTTAAAAAAAAAAAATTAAAATATAATAATTTGTGTGTGTGTGTGTGTGTGTGTCTGTGAGTATGTGTCAGTGTGTGTCTGTGAGTGTGTGTCAGTGAGTGTGTGTGTGTCTGTGAGTATGTGTCAGTGTGTGTCTGTGAGTGTGTGTCAGTGAGTGTGTGTGTGTCAGTGTGTGTGTGTGTCTGTGAGTGTGTCAGTGTGTGTCTGTGAGTGTGTGTCTGTGAGTGTGTGTCTGTGAGTGTGTGTCTGTGAGTGTGTGTGTGTCAGTGTGTGTGTCAGTGAGTGTGTGTCAGTGTGTGTGTCAATGGGTGTGTGTGAGTATGTGTCTGTGAGTCTGTGAGTGTGTGTCAGTGTGTGTCTGTGAGTGTGTGAGTATGTGTCTGTGAGTGTGTGTGTCAGTGAGTGTGTGAGTATGTGTCAGTGTGTGTGTCAGTGTGTGAGTATGTGTCTGTGAGTCTGTGAGTGTGTGTCAGTGTGTGTCTGAGTGTGTGAGTATGTGTCTGTGAGTGTGTGTCAGTGAGTGTGTGTCAGTGAGTGTGTGTGTGTGTGTCTGTGAGTGTGTGAGTATGTGTGTGTTTCTGTGAGTGTGAGTGTGTGTGTCTGTGAATATATATATACGTATATATATATATATATGTATATATATGTGTGTGTATATATATATATATATATATATATATATATATATATATATATATATATATACACACACACACACACACACGCGCGCGGCGTGTGTTTGTGCTTTAGGGTGCACACCCTAATGCAATAGGCTGCGCACGCCTATGTTGGGACATTACATTTTTCACTTTTGTCATTGATGAAATATGCTGTGTGTCTAACTTCTCTCCCTGCATCTATTTACTATTATATTGAGTGAATTAATACTTAAATGCCCATGTTAAGGTTAAAATATTGTTTAGTATGTTCTGGTTACCTAAATAAATGGAAGCAAGTTATGAGGAAGTGCTGGACTGTCTTTTTGTTTACTGGAGTCTGCTACTGGTTTTAGGAAAACTGGAATCCATGCACCGTCTGGGGTACGCCCTTTTTCTCATGTTTTTGTTGCACTAATTCTCTCAATTGACCATTTTCAGGAATCCCACTAATAGGAAACTTTGTACAAATGGATCGATATATCTCATTGGACGTTGATAGTTTTTACCCAAAGGATATTACGATAACTTGGAGCCGGGCATGGAATAACCCAGAGGATTATAAGAGAATCCCTGACTCCTCCATTCAGAATACATCACATCAGAATAATGATCGCACCTACAGACTAACCAGCAGATGTGAAGGCCTGACACTGATAGATCGTGCAAATCCAAATGGCATATTTTTAAAGTTGATGGTGGACCACGATGGCCTCCAGTCTCCATTAGTGCACGTCTTCTTGCGCTTAGATGGTAAATGTCCCTCAAATAGAATTACCGGGTTAATTAAATCTGAGTTTATGTTTATTTTTGTATCTACCTTTATAAAGAAGGAATTACAAACTGAGACTTGTCTGACGTATCCGAATGGCAATGTATAGTTATATGTAGAACGTTTGATTGGTTTTAGTGAGTGAATGAAGGATAGATGTTCATGAACATGCATGTACGTAGTGGGGAATCGTGATGCAGCATAACAACATAAACCAACCAAAATTCACCCCAATAATGTCAGACAACGTAGTATGGATGAAACAGGCCACAGCATTTATTATAACATATGATAATTACTGTATAACACATCCATAGTTTATTTTAATATTCTCTTTTCTTTGATATAACCAAAACGTTAAACATCAATAACCATAACTTAACAATAAACTTAACACATAGTATCATCCAGCGAACCCAACCGTCCTTGCCAATAAACTGACCATAAGCCTATGTACCACTTCCTCTCACCTCCACCCACGGCATAAACTCCTTTTCCTTCCAATGCTTACCACCAGCCGACCTTTTCCTCGCTCAGTGGGCATGACCTAAGGTTAACTCTTTAGAGCAGGGGAGGTTGAGACCTGAAAACTTGTTCAATTCATTCCACATAATTAATATAACAACCTCAAACTTAATTGGTAAGGACATACTCCTGGCCACAACCCCGCTGTTTTACGCCTAAAATCAGCAGGAGACCCCACTAAAACCAACTATGGCTTGTTCCACCACTTCCTGTAGAGCGAGATTAAAAGAGGTCAAGTCCGACCTCCATCAAGTGCACCCCATCCCCTCGAAATAGCTAGGCCGCATCCCGCTCATAACCCTATTGCGAACTGGAATCCCCAAACCCCCAAGACAAACCTAGAAACCAATGTTCAATTTCCGATGGCAGCGCACCAGGGCACTCACATTGCTGAGTGCACTGCCAGAAATAACAGGCGATAACCTCAGCCCAGATCCGGTAGACATCTGGGAAGAAAACTAGAATGCAAGCTATGTCCAGGTTTATGGTCAACACAAATCCCAAATGAGCACCGAACCCCAGGTCATTCCCACCCCAGATGGATGACAAACACTTGGAACCTCCAGGAGGCGCGACAGCTGAACCAGGTCGGGGAGGAGCCGCACCAAGCCACTGAACCTCCACTCAAGAAGGCGTAAGATCCAACCACTCACCCCCCCAGGCTGGACCGCCTCATGCCTCCTGGCCCAAACGACAAAGGACAATCCCATGATCCATATTCCGGGGGGAACCGTAACTGCGGAGAGAAATCAACTCCGGAGACCGGCAGGGTGAACATAAGGAACCTAACACCCCAACTCCCACCTTCTGATTCTCCGAACCACCTGCGCTGGCCTGCCAAGCCTAGCGGCCTCTGTAGCCACCCCTAACCGTAATGAATGCCCCCTGAACTCCCCACCATCAATACCCAGGATTTCGAGCCCCAAGTGGAACACTCCAACGAAATGGAAGTGGGAGAGAACAACTTCCGTCTTCGAGAACCAAAAAAGGGGGAGGAGGCCGGATAAGCCAGGTGGAAAGAATAGAACTCACCGAAGGAAAAAAACAGGACAAATGTCGGAACCCGGCACTGCCCCCAATCGGAAAGGTATATTTCAGATTACTCTGGTTACCTAGTACATCATGTTATGTGCCCAACTATTACCCTAGTCATTTTATCTACCTCAGAAGAATGATGAAGGGCTAAGGCTAAGTCAACCCCACTGGGAATGAACCCGCAATGCCAAAGAATTGAACAGATTCTATTGATGAATAAGACCCGACTGGATAAAAGAAGAAGGAACACCGTACTCACCAACTAAAGCCCGGCGTACCAACAGTGGCAAAAAACTGTAGAAGGTCCAGGCAGACTACGCCACATGCTGGGCAATTCTAGGAACTGCAGCCAGGTCCTGTGAGAAGAGCACGGAGAGGAGGTGAAGCCCATGCTCCACACCAGGAGGCAGCCGAGGTAAGTGACCAGCAGAGAGAAGAGGGAGGACACAGAGAGAGGGGGTGGGGAGAGAAAGGAGAGGGACCGGCAGAAACAGCAGGACAACCTGGGGGACACGGGGGTGGGGTGGGGGGCCCCCGGAAGGTAGAAGGAGGGCTCAGGGACAAGACCAGGGAAAGGAATGGGGAGGTAAGAAACTGAAGGGGGGACAGGGGAGAGAGACCCCACGGGAGCCATCCTCACTGGCAGAGGAGGCCCCCAGACCCATGAGAGGTTCCCCCACATACCCAACGGCAGTACCTCAGTACCCCGCATGGCCCTGCAGGGCCTACTCACCGGCCAGCATTTGCGCCTGCCATGAGGCGATCATGAAGGCCTCCGTACGGCCACACACCTCGCAGGACGCGCCGCCCGCCTCCTATTGCCTCTGGCATGATTCCCAATGCCGGAGCCGCAGGCTGCGATGTGGCTGCAGGAAGGAATTAGGCTGCGCATCCTGCGCGGTAGTTGAAGGCTAGTTGCGTGTCTGGAACCTCAACCGGGGCTCCTACACCTCAACCGGGCATGAGGAGTATTGACAAGGGATAGCTGAGCCGGCGGGTGGGAATGCCGGCTGCCATTGCAGCCCCCAGGAGCAGGGGCCACAGGGGAGGCCCCAGAAGGAGACAGACAGCGGGGGACCCACATCGGCAGCCATACCTGGAATGAGGAGAGCCCATGGTGCATGGAGTCGCCGGCCACCATCCACGCTGCAGCAGCTCTGAGGGAAACCAGAAAAGACTCAACCTCCCTCCCTCAAGCTGGTAAAACTGACAGGCCCAGGCAAACAGGAGCAGGAGGACAGGACTGTTTGCTGGCCCAAATCCCAAGTGGCACTGAGGTAATACCACCCCCCACTAAACTTACACACTACATACACAACCAATCCCATGCATCTATCCCCACACTCATACATGTGCCCTTGTCCGCTGAGCTGGGCTATCTCCCCAGGGCGTCAGTGGAGGCCCATAGAAGAGACGATGAAATCAATCGTGCAGAGGTGTTGTTTGGTGGTTGAAAGACCAGGGGTATTAGCCCATGGGAACATTTTATCGCTCCTCTAAAATATAAATACTGTATTAAGAACAGTCGATCCCAGAACCCAGCTGTACTGTGCCTTATGTCTAACCCTAAATACTAATATATTCTATAAATAAAATAATGACAGAATTTATAAATAAATTCAGATAATTTTATCAACCTATATTTATTAACCACAAACACGCCGCATTAACCACAAACACGCCGCATTAACCACAAACACACCGCATTAACCAAAAACACGCCGTATTAACCACAAACACGCAGTATTAACCAAGCATTGCAGCAATACCCCCACATTGCGCTGTATAACTAACTCCAAATATGAAGCATTAAAGTAACACTGTCACAAATTATACAATTTAAGATATTTCTCTCTGTGTTACAGGAGACTTCGGGCTAACAATGAAATTATGCCAAAATTAGACCCTGGGCTTTTTAGGACCACACTTGAGGCTCCAGCCCCAGTCAGACTCCCCAGCAAAGCCTTTGATCATGTATATGGATGAATTTTATATTAGCCCTGTCATACTTTGTAACTTCTTTGGGAAGGGAGTTCCTTTGTTTTTAAAAGGAAAATAAATATTATTATTATTATTATCACCATTTGTATAGCGCCAACAGATTCCGTAGCGCTTTACAATATTAGGAGAGGGGTGATTTAACTATAAATAGGACAATTCCAAGTAAACTTACAGGAACGATAGGTTGAAGAGGACCCTGCTCAAACGAGTTTACAGTCTAGTACTTTATCGTATGTGTAACTAATAAAACTAAGGCAAATGTAAATAAATAAATAAAAACAAGGGGAAGAGAGGGGCAATAACAATATTTTAAAACCCCACCTTGCAGAGTGACAGGGCTGCTTTAATAGAGGAATGGAGAGATAGACGCTGACAGTCTGATTATATGAGGAAGACGCAGAGAGGCCGATACCAGCTCCAGATATAGGGATATCAGCGCTACGAATGTGATGGCGCTAAATAAATAATATAATAATAATAACAGTTGGGATTTTCAGCCCCTGGTGTTTGGAACACAAATCCTAATCCCATCAGAATTAGTAACATTAATGGGAGAGATTTATAGAACTGTGACTGACAGAAACATCAGGTAAATAATTAAATGTGCAGAAATTACCATGGATTCATCAGGAACATTCCATTGGTTTCCATGGCGATTGCTATACTTTTACTATTAGCACAACTCCCCACAATCTACATTTATAAAAAAAATAAAAATTAAACTAATGTGGGAAACCAGCATCGACTGGACTTCAGGATAAATCAGAACCTGCCACTTATTTACACCGAATAAAACATTCACAAAGATATTTACTGAAGGGAGAATCCAACTTTAATTCAGAGAGAAATTCTAATTTAAGGCCAGAGTAGCCGATCTGAGAGCTGATTTCGATAATGTTTCCGGCTCACTTTGAATTCTCAAATTAGTAAATAAATACCCCTGATAGATTTTTGCCTACAATCACTATAACCTACACCAGTTATCATTATAAGAGCTATTCTCAATAGATACAAAATGTTTATAGTTGTTTCACTGAGTGTTGGATGATTCACAGTATTTTATTGAAATCTTGCACGTTTTTTATTTTTGTCTCAAAGGAAAACTGTATTCCTAACACTATAATGCCCTCTGCCCCTCCCCCTTACCTCACAGACCCCCAGTGGCAAATAAAGGGTCAAAAACCCCTTTTTACAATTACCCAATTCCACGTCCCTCGGCACTGGGTCCACTCCTTCTCCACTGACCCCAGCCGATGGGGGTACTAATTGCTCCAATTCCTAATGGGTTTTACAACACGCTGAATGTCCTCATGCAAAGCCTGAGGATGTCCAGCGTTGTTTCATGGAGTCAAACTTCGTAACACTCCAAGAAGCGCCACTAAAGGCAGTCTTAACCCTTTAACCCTTTAAGACCGCAGGATGTTCTGTGACATCCTTAAGGGGCTGGCTCTAAACGCCGCAGGACGGCATAGAACGTCCTGGGTGGTCTTGCCGCCCACGTGGCCGGTGGCATTACCCTGCTGCAGAACACGGTCGGGGGGCACGCCTGCCCCCCCCCCGGGAGCCCCTCCTGTGCCCAGTGACCGCGATCTGCAGACTCCGAACGCAGTGACAGGCTATCACTGTGATCGGTATTTAACATGTGTAAGCCGGTTTTAAAATCGGCTGACACATGGAACCGCGGCATTTTCCGCTGCAGTACTGTTTTACTCGGAAGACTTCACTGAATACAAATATGTGTATTTTATTGCAGTAAAAGCAAACAGTATTTTGACATTCACAGTTAAAATGTCACGTAGAACTAAAAAAAAATTTTTACATCTTATTTTCTCCCTTTTTTTATATTTTATTCATATTAAATTATGTTTCATAGCTAAATATTTGATATTAAATGAAAGCCCTGTTTCCCCTGAATAAAATGATATATAATAAGGGTGGGTGCATTTAATATGAAAGAGGTGAATTACGGTTGGACAGACATGTAGCGCAAATGCCAGGTTTTGTTTACATTTTGTTTTGATCACAACGTGTACATTTGGCTCAGTCCTTAAGGGGTTAATGAAAACATTGTTTTACATTGCAGGGTCAAGAGAACAGGGACACTGTACCCAGACCACTCCAATGAAATGAAGAGGTCTGGGTGCCTATAATGTACCTTTAACAACATTCTTTATACATTACAACAGACCGTGTATATCTGTCTGTCTGTCTCTCTCTCACCGGACAAATGACATAATGTTTTCTCTCTCACACAGGGAACTATTATTTATTACAAAAAGGACAAAAAAAATTCAAGTTACCAAAATTACCCATGGAATGACATCACAGCAGAAATGACATCACAGCAGTTCCAGTGAATACAGACAAGTTGTCGCAGTACTTTATTATGTCTCAGTGTTAACATGGCTGGAATGTAACTGACGTTTATGAGTAAGATCTAAATACAGCTTCGGAGAGAATTGTATGGGGGATGTGATGCAGTTGTTAAGGAGTGTCATCATGTCCACTTCTCAATTTAGGTTTGTTCTGTAATTTGAATTAACATTTCTCTGCTCAAATACAAAACAAATAGTCCTTTTAGAAGGTGTTCCCCCAGAGAAAACATTCCTCTGAATTTAATGTGTTTTATCTAAAAACAACTTGCAAAAGATGGAGATGTCTTGTCTGCAGCTTCTGCAAGTCTTCCCGTTCTAACCCGGCCAAACTTTCTGTGTCGGACAGTCAGGTGTCAAGAGATGTAGCTATATTATCTCCAGGGTATTTGCCTATAGTTTCACGTATCGTGTTCCGAAAAGTGTAAGAATATGTAAATATGGTAATGTAGCCCCATGGAACAAGCGCAGCTTAGGGGAAAGGGGACTTGATAAGGCGAGGAGGCGGGCTTAGGTGGACCTGAGTGTTGCTTGGAGGGTTAATGTTTGGGGGCAGGGTTGGTAATTTTAGACCAGCCATATTATAATTCAATCACTCTAATGAACTCACCAGACTGAGTTGGTCCCTCTCCCTCCCCCTCCCTAAGTTTAACTTGGTTTTAGTCTCTGTTTTGACTCTGTTTGGTCACATCGGTGGGGCTGGTGAGAGGAAGGTTAGGGGGGAAATATGCCTTATTTAGTTATAAAAGAACAATGATAGTTGGTTGGTTCAACTGTTGGTACTCCACCTGCACATATGGCGTTAATGCACCTGTAATGAACATGTTTTACTCGTACACTGAAAATACAGCAACATTACCCATAACCTTTTTCCAATAACTCTGTGTGTAAAATAATGATAGAAATATGATGCTATCACCCATGTGTATAAACTTATTTTATATTGCGTTTCTAAACTAATTAAAAAACGACCCTCTTTTCTACTCCATTCATTTCACTCTGGTCCTCACCCAGCAGCCCAGCAGATACATTTATCTACACATTTTCAGGGTCATTCATTAAGTAATAAATTTTTTTTTTTTTTTTGTTCTGTTTTGTTTTTCTTTTGTTTGTTATTTTTAGGATTCAAAATGAGTTTAAAGTTTGAGAGGAAAATACACATCCTGAAAACTAGGTTAATTAGGAGATTTTAGGTGAAATAGTTGAATTAGAAAAGCTGCAGTTTTTCCAGCTTGAATAGTTTAGATCAAAAATTAAAATTCTCCTTTTAATTCATCACAGTTCCCGAGGTTCACTTGTTTTTAAATTCTCTGCAATCCCCATTGTCTGGTTTTTAAAGCGTTTACTCTTTAATATTGCTAAATTATAGAGAAATACACGAAGGATAAAAACAACTTACTACATGTACGTGAGAAAAATCAAAAGACAAAAAATTTGTCTACAACTACACGATCAAAGAGATAAAGAAAAAATGTGGATAAATTACTTTCTATAATGTGAGTTTTAATGAACCCCCATACTTTTTACAATTACCTTTCTAGGAGGAACAGACCCTATTTGGCCCAAATCCCTAAATTTCTTCTTTTCTTTTCTAATTCCCCCTTTTCTAGGAGTGTCACATTTTTTATTTTGCTTCACAGCAATAAAACTGGTAAATCTCCTCTAAAAAACGACACCTGTCCTGTTGTAAATTAAACCATTACTGGATTGTAGGCTTTATAGGCCTGCAAGTGCCCCTCCAACAGCATGCCTTCTTCCAACCATCCCAATTTCACTGGAACAGTCACGATTTGTAGGTTCTGTCATGCCAACTTTGTGCCTGGTTTACCACTTTTGGGAACACCATTGAACTGTCCAAAAAACTTGAAAAAGTGTAGTCGGAGCACATTATTAGATCTACGTGCACTGCACTAGGACTTTTCAGGGAGCAGCTCTGATAATGCAATCATTAACCATTACTCACTGACTGGTTTCTAACCTTATTGTCCAAATTTGAAACATGTTTCTGCATGGTGCAAACACACAAATACAATGGCTAACCTTCCGTATATTCAACAGAGAGAAACATCACCTCATCCACACTGAGTTGATCTGCTGGGTCTATTAAAGGAACACTATAGTCACCTAAATAAAGCAGTTTTAGTGTATAGATCATTCCCCTGCAATTTCACTGCTCAATTCACTGTCATTTAGGAGTTAAATCACTTTGTTTCTGTTTATGCAGCCCTAGCCACACCTCCCCTGGCTATGATTGACAGAGCCTGCATGAAAAAAAAACTGGTTTCACTTTCAAACAGATGTAATTTACCTTAAATAATTGTATCTTAATCTCTAAATTGAACTTTAATCACATACAGGAGGCTCTTGCAGGGTCTAGCAAGCTATTAACATAGCAGGGGATAAGAAAATCTTAATTAAACAGAACTTGCAATAAAGAAAGCCTAAATAGGGCTCTCTTTACAGGAAGTGTTTATGGAAGGCTGTGCAAGTCACATGCAGGGAGGTGTGACTAGGGTTCATAAACAAAGGGATTTAACTCCTAAATGGCAGAGGATTGAGCAGTGAGGCTGCAGGGGCATGTTCGATACACCAAAACTGCTTCATTAAGCTAAAGTTGTTCAGGTGACTATAGTGTCCCTTTAACAGTATTTAAAAAGAGGAATAGATTATAATATTTACTATACAATTTTAATAAATTAAAGTGGGTGGTCTGCCAGACACCAATAATAAGCCTGTTGGTGTGTGGCTGCATCGTAAGAATGTTCGAATGCCTAGTGGTCCACTGGTTGTCACTATGATAGTGAAGTCGCCATTCTTTAATGTCAACCAGGTGCTCAAAGCCACATTCCTGCCTCCCGGTCTCTCTCTGAAAGGTCTCAGTGTCTGACAGTACTCAGCTGACACTCAGCCTAGGAACACCAATTGCAAAGAGGAAAAGAGGCAAAAACACTAAATGGTAAGGAGCCACCATCACCTACATATCACATGTAGCTACACCGTTCTTCACTCCAGGAGACTCTACAGATGGGGATTGTCCACCTGTATTCTGCTTTCTCCTCTGTAGCTCCCGTGATGTAAATAACCAGACACACTGTAAAGGTGAGTGTCTGACCTTCACACAAAGTCATGTTCATTATTGGTTCTTTATATGTCCTCTGGGAGACACGGGGCACTCTAACAGGCCAATAGGTTGTATTCTGATCTTCTTCCTTTCCAGGCTTTCAGGAAATAAAACCCTGATTGTACAGGGAACGGTGGCCTTAATACCGTGTACGTGGTACTATGATATCGCTCCTACTGGGGCGCAGAAGTAAGTCTGTCGCAGAAAGGGAATGATTAGAAGTGGATTTTTAATTTAAAAAAACAGGAATCAGAGCTAAAGTGAACAGCAATGTAAGTGAACGTGTTGTTTCTTGTTTTTATATCCCAGAATGAAAGCAGTATGTATGTATCAAGAGATGGAGATTTAGAGGATAATTATAAACTCATAAAACAGCCTACAGGAGCCTTTCCCAGTGACCTAATTGATGTCTTCTCCCCAGCCACCATTGTATGTCTCTCCTCTCTAATTACCTTTTTCTCCTTGTCTGGTTAGTGGATGCCCCCCTTGTCTCCTACCAGCACTATCAGGGTATATGAAGTAGTGGGATTTATACAAGTAACTAGGGTGGACTGAGCTGGCAGCCCTTTACCGCCATCTAGTGGCGCCCCTGATGCAGACATGTTGGCATTTGAAACCCGGAAAGTAGTTGTAGTCCTAGTGTGGCTACTTGTACTCAGAAGGTCCCCTAGCAGGCAAAATGGGCAGTGCGATTATTTAAATAGACCCTGTGGACACTATAACCAGATAATCTAATTGAATTGGGTATAGTGCCTGGAGTTCTCTGGGACAGTCCCTCCATTCGCTGTTAAACCATTTTTTATCACTAAATAAATCCCCTTCAATAGGATGAAGCAGTTACAGTGCCTACACTGTATTTTAAAATCACGTGGAAGGACAGCAATTATTATGATCTATTAAGATGTTCTGTGAATGTTTATTGTATATATGGATCTATATTCTATGGGATGTTTTTGAGTTTATAATTTCCTCAACCTGTGTTAATTCTTTATTTTTTTAAATCTCTTTGTGTAACACAGCACAGCCCAAACCCTGCAGACAGCAAGGTGTGGCCACCCCTTTAAGAGACCTGGCTGGGTTTGAACTCACAGATCCAGCATCCCAGTCAGGTTCTCTGCCATGACATCCACCAGGGGGTGGAATCAGTTTCTGTTTGCATTTATCTGCTTCCTGACCCCCTTTCCAATTAGGGTCAGCTGCATCTAATTGGCAGGCTGTAAAAGCCAGCCCTGCCTGAGACCTAGTATCTGGTCATTTTGCCTGTTTGGTGTTTTCGGCTGGATCTCTGCTTCGCTACTGACTGATTTCCTGGACTCTGACCTCTGCCTGCTTTACAGACTACATTACTCCGCTGCCAGCCCTGACTTCTGCTTCTCGTCTGACCCTGCCTTTGGATTTCCAATTATCTGTACTGTGTTTTGGATTCTGCCTCCTCCTTTTGCCATCTCCTGCAACTGGGATCCAACTCCTGTTAAACTGTTACAAAAGTCCCCAGGTGACATGTTATGCCCATTTTGCAGTTTGAATGTGGAAGTGTCTCTTTGTTTATATATGTTTTTGTATATATAGACACGCTCACACTCATACATGCTGGAATACACTCATACATAGAGGAATACATACTAGAGGCATGGGATGTGTGAGGAACCAGGATCCAGTAGGGTTGTTGAGGGACTGTGAGTTGCCAGGAACTCAATGGACCCTGAAATGGACAGAGCCCAGGGTGACTTAATAATCCATGTCCAATAAGAGGGCCTCCCACACTCAAGTCAGGACTTCAATATAGGACAAGGGTGCAGATAGAGGACTAGGAACACCAAAACCTGCCCTGCATGAATCACACTGAAAATAATCATGTTCTCCCCCTGTCAGGATGTTGCAAGGTGAAGGGATCTGCCAACTGCACATGTTTAAAATTGTCAGTCATGCCCAGTGCACCTTTCCAGCATTCCTAGGGATAGGGCACTGATTGGTTAGATGAGTGTACCCCCTTGAAGTGGATGTGCAAATCATAAGAAAGATAAATCAGGTCTGAATGAAGAAAACGCATATTTACTTACTTATTGCAGCCGGAATGAGGCAACTGTCTCATTCATAGTTAAAGCTTTTTGTCTCAAAGTGATGCATGTCCCTTAAAAATACAATAAATCTGCTTAGAAATCAGTCTGTGTAAATAAGATACTCTCTTTTCCTTCTGAATTACATTTTAGCAGTATAAATTGTTATTTAGTTGGTCACCTACAATTTCTCAGAACAGCTCCGCCCCTGGTCACACCCCCTTTCACACCGCTAGGTTTAGCTCTCGGCCCATTTAAAAAGGTTTGGATGTAAGTTTCCCCACTGTACAGCGCTGCGGAATATATTAATAATAACAACAATAATTGAACAATGTAAAGTGAAATGTATCTTTTGGAAGGTAACATTGTTATACACATATTTTGCATCAAACTGGTTCATACAAAATATATGTTTTCATTGTTTAGAGATCCGTGGGGTTATTCTACATCTAATAATTCTTTTCTCTCACGGTTACTTCCCAGTTTTAGTTTTTTCTCTGTTGCACTGTGTAGCTTGTTGGTAAATATCCTCCACATTCATTGTCATAAATAACTTAAATATCACATGGTCATTATATTTCTATCTATTAATAGTATTAAAGGGTACATTTCTGCTTGTGTCTTACACCTTTTGACGATATGGCCCTGAAGTCTCTGGCACTGAAGGTGTACCAGTTCAGGCCTGCTATCGTCCATGGATTTCTTTGCCTAACCTGTAACTGCAACTAACTGCTCAACCATGTCCGAAGGTTACGTTTGCCTTTTCTAGCGGACTCACCGGTAACCCAGGATATACTGTGATTGTATCTTCTGGCTGTTACAGAGTATACTAACTAGCTTGTTGCACTGGCAATACACTTCCATGAACATGGTTCCTTAGCAGGACTTAAACTTGCATGGATTCCGAGACCTCCGAAAGAGACAAGACACACGCTTCTTGCTGGCAACTTGCTAAATCACATTTTATTCTGAACCCCAAGCTTTTCTTAACCACAGTACAGACCACAGTACACAAAGGAAATGTATTTGCAATTAGGTACACCAAAGGGTTTGTAATGTATCTGTGCTCGGCACAGATATATTACAAACCCCATTCACTGGTCAGCTCACACAGCTGTCCTCCTTAAGAGATAACCCACTTTTATAATACAAATCCACGGAGAATCAATAATGCTATTATAAATGGATAGAACAGCACAAGTGCTACATTATGGATGGCTCAAAAGGCATTATTCGTGGAGAATTTATAAAACATCCCTCGTTTCTCAAAAGAATTAACTCCCAGAAAATCTCTCAATTGGAATCGGATGTTAACATTTGATTGATACAACATAAAATGTCCCCTAACACCACATCGGCCAATCAGAATAACACCTTTCTAACAGCTTCAACAGACAGGGTTAGCTTTCCGCACATTAAAACTATCATATTCTAATAAAACATGGTAAATCACCAGCACGCAAACAGAGAGCACATGCTACGGTTCCATTTATAGCATCTTCTCAGGGAAGAGTTTGCTAATTTTTATACCAAACTTTACAATCTAAATTAGGAAACCTCCCAGTGTAACCCTAAATTGATAGAAATGTATTCGTTTTTTTAAAAAGCCTAATTTTCCTACTATTCCAGAATCTCAGTTGAAAAGCTTGACAGCCAATAACATTAGAGGAAGTTTCTACGAAGGCTGAAACCTGACAAATCTCCTGGTCCATGCGGTCTGTCAGGCCTTTACTCCAAAACATTATCTTTTATTCTTTCATATTTGGTATCGTTTTAAAATTTTTATATTACTGAACATTCAGTCCCTAAAGAACTTCTGCTAGCACATATTATCCTTATCACTAGCCGGGTAAGCCACATACGGTTTGTCAGAACTTCGGGCCTATTTTACTACTAAACTCAGATAATTAAATAATGGACAAACACTAGCCACAGAATCCACTGAACTCTGTGCCAATGTCTGTAATGGTTGTAAGGTAATTGGGGCATAACCCAGCTAGAATACACTTAGAAAACAAATTTAGAAAACCCCCAAAAGGGAACGACTCAATAAATTACTCTGAAGTACAATTATTCAAAAAGACACTCTCGCAGTCTCAGAAACTTGTCATAGTCGCCATCTTCTTTGGTCACGTTTCACGAGTTCTAACCCACAGAACCTCAAACCTATTGAGTCCCCTGTGGAGGGTTCCTTTGAGTTCCTGGAGATGGCCTTTAGTGGAGACCGAACATGTTCCTTAATTTTTTTTTTTTGAACTGTTGGAAGGTTTTCCCCACAAATTGCAATCACAGGTGAGTAAGCGCACAATGCCAGCAGTATTGGAGCAGTAAAAGGTTTGAGGTTCTGTGGATTAGAACTTGTGAAATGTGACCAAATGTGACCAAAGAAGATGGCGACTATGAGAGGTTTCCGAGACAGTGGTTTCCGCTTCTGGATCTAAAAGCTAAAACCTTTCATGGGTCTTAATGACGTTTTTTTCCTTTGAGCCTCTTGTCTAGTTTTTTTGTTTATTCATATGTTTATGCATGTGTAGGGTAGATCATGCTATGTTTGAGCGCCCTTTAAATAAATATAAATCATTATTCAGAAATATTGACTCTGAAATTTAGCAATATTAATATAATATTTACCCCTACCAAGAGAGACTATTTTTATAGATCGTTATATTCAGGCTACAGGAAGCCTGCCCCACAGCCACCTATGGTGACTTACTGTAATGAGAGTGTGTAACTGTATGTGAGAAAGTGTGGCTGGATGTGGTACTACAGTGACCTCTAGTGGTTCCTTGGAAAATGTTAACATCTATCCTTTCAAAATAAAGAGTGATACATTATTTCTAAACTAGATTGTTATGCTTTGCACACTTTTACTAACTAAAGAGTGGTTATGTGTCATTTGTTTTTTTTTAAATATTTACTATTTTTGTTTTCTTGTTTCCAATTTCACTTTTTGAATTAACTGTGATAATATATGAATAAATAATAAATACGTGATTGGTATAAAACACTTTACACTTTTTAACTATTTTTATTAATACTTAAGTTTTAGACAATACCACAATATTTAATTTTCCAATTCTTGATTAAATTAAGATTAGATTTATGTGAAGATCTTGGCAAACCATATTATAAATCTAATTCTAATCAAGTGGGTTCTGTACCCACCAGACATCCATCTGATAATACACAGACATTTATTAACATAATCCATCCTATGAGGGGTGTGGGTGGGGGGATCTTGGAACAAAAGTGCAGGGGATGCGCACTACCAGAGGACTTTCCGGAACACTGAAGCCCCGTAAGAAGGGTCGGAAAAAACGCCAGAAAATGAGGCAAAGTTTGATTTCCACTTGGGATACTTTTTTACCGGCCTGTATTTGAAGGAAATTATGCACAAATTAAGACTGATAAGTTGAAACACGTTGTGCTTGGACTTTTTGCCTAATTGTCTATTTTATGTATGCATATTCAATAAATGTGTTGCTTCTGCAAAATCTTCTGGTGGATCGTGATTCTCCTTCAGAAATCTAGATGTTGACTTTAGATCATTGAGAGCTACTGATTATACCATATGCCTGCAAAGCCAGAGCCTGCTATATGAGGCTCTGGTAAACGTGAGTGGTTCCATACACTTTCATTTGATATTCTTTTGACCTTACAGTTTTCTACTATGTCTCTATATCTTTTTACAGATTCAAGCCAATTTATATGTGAAGTCTTGATGTAGAATTATTAAAATCTTTATTAGAACCTGTATTGAATTATTGTACCAACTCCATTTTGTTCACCTTACATGACAGAATTTCCTGACAGTATTCAGTATAATGAATAAGAGATTGTATTTTCTCTCTCTAAGGACATAACTAGCCCCGGAGTTAGCGGATCTCCGTTGACTTGCAACATAGTATAATCCAAGGCCAGGAGAACAGTGACAAAATGAAATGTTCTATTCATAAAAGAACCTTGGAACAGACCACGAGACTGACATCACTAACTACGTAAAATGACGCCCAAGCCCCCCTTTCCACCGAGTAAGCCTCGTGCTAAAGAGCAATGGCGACGACATCCCATGATGGGAGGGTGCCTCACTAGTCACTCAAATCTCTGAGCCAATTAATAATATTAATGGGTGGACACTGACATAGCCACTTAACATTTAACCCAATTAATGATGTTTATTTGTGTTACGACACGTACCGTCGGGTAGATGAAGCCGCCGTTTAGGCAATAATCCCCTCCTCCAGAAATGCAGGTTTAAATCCAGCCGATCGCCAAACTCCCGAACGAAGTCCGCGAACACGGCAACTCCCGATCAGCCAAACAGTCGAACGCCTTCCACAGCTAGAAATAACGAAAGCGCTGTCCCAATAATAATTCCCCCCACAAACGAGACCAAGCTCCGTCTTGAGGGTCAAATGAAGATCTGTTTAATGGGGGCTACCTGCCCGGTATTTATGCAGGTCTCCACAAGGTGGACACTCCCCGAGGGGACCTTGTGGAAGACTGTAACACATATTGTACAGTAGCCAATCGCAGTGGCTTCAATAGTAGCCCTTCCCATCTTGCCCATAATTCCGTCTTCTTTACCTTGGAGATAATTGGGGAAGAAACCTAATTATCTCCCAAGGTAGAGACCATCGCCATCTTAATTTACAGTAACAAAAAGACATTAAAATACATAACTACAGAAATACCGAATGCATATGGTTCGTGTAATGTATCCCCAGACAGCCTGGATCTGAGGGCATGTTTTCACCGAATAGCGCTCAGATCCGATGTATCTAGTCGAATCGCCATGGAGTCAAAGTCTTTCACCAGTCCTTCGGTATACGAATGACTCCATGGGATGGCTGTCGGGGTAAAAGTCCATACGACTGAATAAAACTCCCGAACGACCGACGTTCGCATGCCTTGTCGAAAAGGAAGGTAGGCAGCAGCTTTTCAGCGGTGTTCGGTAGTTTAAGTGTCCGTTTTTAGTTCCATACAGTTTGTACCGAACACCGCTCTGTGTTCGTATGTCCCAAAATGGCCGCTGCCTCGTGGTCGACATGCGAACGACGACCACCCGTACGAATGGAATGGAGAGGTGTCTGCGGTTAACCACAACGTTCTAATTGGGGCCAAGAGGTTAACCAGCAGCACACTCCTCTCCTGGGTGGCCGTTCGTTCGGTAGTTTCAATCGGCATTTTGCAAATACACGAACGGGGGTATAGGAACAGGCAATTCCGCGAACAAAGGGAAACAGACGAACCAACAATGCAGATGAATCTGTCACACGGCTCCCCCCTTGTGGGACACTCCGGCAGACCCGGCTTGACCCTTTAGCGGGTCAACGTGGGGATGACCGGACTAAGATGGGGTGAGGATGTCGGTTTGCCTGGACAATCCATCTGCGTTCCCATTCTGCTTGCCGGGTCGATAAGTGATGGTGAAGTTATATGGCTGTAGTGCTAAACTCCACCTCAGCAGTCTGCCATTGTCTCCAGAGACCCGGTTAAGCCAGACAAGGGGATTGTGGTCCGTCACAAGGGAAAATTCCTGTCCATATAAATACGGGCTTAGCTTCTTCAATGCCCACACCAGGGCCAAACATTCCTTCTCCACTGCCGCATAACTCACTTCTCTGGGTAACAACTTTCTGCTGAGATATGCGACAGGGTGCTCTCCTCCATCTTCCCCGACCTGGCTCAGCACAGCCCCCAGTCCATACATGGAAGCATCTGTATGGACGAGAAAACGTTTGTTAGGGACTGGGGCAGCCAGGACAGGGGCATTCACAAGAGCATGTTTGAGTGCTTGGAACGCAGCTTCACAAGCCGGAGACCACAGGACCTGCTTAGGAAGATTCTTCTTGGTCAAGTCAGTCAGGGGTTTAGCAATAGAGCTGTAGTCGGGGACGAAGCGCCTATAGTATCCTGCTGTCCCTAGGAAGGCTAACACCTGGGTCTTGGTGATAGGTGTGGGCCAGTTAGCAACTGCCTCTATCTTGGCTGGCTCTGGCCTCTGGCTCCCACACCCTACTCTGTGACCCAGGTACTGCACTTCAGCCATGCCTAAATGGCACTTCTCTGGCTTCAATGTCAGGCCAGCGGCCCGAATCTTGTCCAGCACCACCCCTACATGTACTAGGTGTTCTTCCCAGGACTCACTGTAGATCGCAATGTCATCCAGGTATGCACAAGCAAATTCCTGGAATCCATCAAGAAGTCTATCCACCATACGCTGGAAGGTAGCCGGGGCATTCTTCATCCCAAATGGCATGACCTTAAATTGGTACAGGCCAAATGGGGTGACGAAGGCCGACTTGGGGATAGCATCCTCGGCCAGGGGAATCTGCCAGTAGCCTTTGCACAGGTCTATGGTGGTCAGATAGCGTCCCCTGGCAATGCGATCTAACAATTCATCTACCCGGGGCATCGGGTAGGCGTCAGTGGTGGTCCGCTCATTGAGACGCCTGTAGTCCACACAGAACCGGGTGGTCCCATCCTTCTTGGGCACCAGGACTACAGGCGAGGCCCAAGGGCTATCGGAGTGTTCGATGACCCCCAGCTGGGTCATCTCCTGTATCTCCTTCCGCATTCCTTCCCGGACTGCTTCAGGGATACGGTAAGGGGGTTGTCGCAGAGGGTTCTGTCCAGGGGTTTCTACCTTGTGTACAGCTAGGGTAGTGTAACCAGGTTCTTGGGAGAAGGTCGCCTGCTTCTCCCACAAAAGCTGTCTTGCCTGGCCCTTCTCGGTAGCGCTCAATCTGTCCCCTAGCTGTACTAGGCTAGTAAGATCCGTCTGGGGGTCCCTCTCTAACAGGTCTGGCAAGGGTAAACTTTCTGTATCATCTGCAGCAGGGGCACATACTGCAGCGACATTCTCCGGTCTCTCCTGATACTCCTTTAGCATGTTCACATGGAAGGATCGCTGGATCCTTTCATCTGAACAGCTGGCTATAAGGTAGGTAGTATCACATATCTGTGCTAACACCTTATACGGGCCCTGCCAAGATGCCTGCATCTTGTTCGCCTTCACAGGTTTGAGCACTAGTACCTTCTGCCCAACCTGGAAAACTCGCTGTCGGGCACCCCGATCGTACCACCTCTTCTGTCTCCCCTGAGCCACCTGGAGATTCTCCCTTACGATTAGGGACAGTTTCTCCATGCGGTCCCGGAGTTCCAGAACATATGGCACTATGGGGGTCCCTTCCTGCTCTGTCTCCCCCTCCCAGTGGCCTCTAATGAGATCTAGGGGTCCGCGGACCCTTCTCCCATATAGCAACTCAAAGGGGGAGAACCCAGTAGATTCCTGGGGCACCTCTCTGTAGGCAAACAACAGATGAGGCAGGAATCGCTCCCAGTCTCTGCAAGTGTCAGAAAAGGTCCTCAGCATCTGTTTGAGGGTGCCATTAAATCGCTCGCAGAGACCGTTAGTCTGTGGATGGTAAGGTGAGCTAAGCAGCGGTTTAATGCCGCACACCTTCCACAGTTGCTGGGTGAGCACAGCGGTGAATTGGGTTCCCTGGTCAGAGAGAATCTCTTGAGGGAACCCGACTCTGGTAAAAATCCTAACCAGGGCATCAGCAACTGTCTCTGCCTCTATATTAGACAGCGCTACTGCCTCTGGATAGCGAGTGGCATAATCCACCACGGTGAGAATATATTTCTTACCGGATGGACTAGCCCTGGCCAGTGGACCCACAATGTCAACGGCTATGCGGGCAAAGGGCTCCCCAATGATAGGCATAGACATAAGCCTAGCTCTTGGGTGGTCCCCCCGCTTTCCTATCCGTTGACATGTGTCACACGTACTGCAGTATGTCCGCACAGCCTGATTGAAGTTTGGCCAAAAAAAGTTCTGCATGATCCTATAGGCTGTGCGGCGGGAACCTAGATGTCCAGCTAACGGAACATCATGCCCTATCCGCAGAATCTCCTGCCGGTATTTCGCGGGCACTACCAGCTGTCGATTCGGCGGAGGGGCAACACTCTTCGGGGAAAGCTTGGGGATCCTATATAACCTGTCCCCCACCCACTCATACCGTTCTCCATCTAATCCTTCCTCTCCAGTATCCGCTCTGTCCCTATACTTCTGGAGGGTCGAGTCTGTCTGAGTTTCCCTCCCAAACTCCTCTGGGGAGTCCCAGTTAACAAAGGTCGGTCCTAGGGTACCAGTCGGGGACTCGGTCCTTACCTGGGTCTCAGCAGCAGGTGGGCTGGTTCCAGCAGCACGGGTCTGGGCACGGGTAGTCACTGGGTTGATAGCGGCAGGTCCCATTGGAGCATAGGCGGACACCAAAGGGGCCAAGTCATTCCCAAGCAAAACATCAGCCGGTAAGTCTTTCATGACCCCCACATTCACGTGTCCAGAGCCCACCCCCCAATCCAAGTGAACCCGGGCAACCGGTAAACGGAACACTGCACCTCCCGCCACCCTCACTGCCACA